TTGCCCTCCTTGTTAAGTCTAGAACCTCAGAAGCCCCCAGGATGCTGAGAATCCATTGCCTTACTAGCTGGCTGTTTGTACCGACAAGATTGTCACTCTGCAGACAAGCTCTAGCCAAGATGTCTCTTAGGAGAGGCCCAGCTCTAGGGCACACTGTTGGACCTACTTATCACCCTACAAGAGCTTTATTAATAGCCAGTTCTAAAGGGCAAAGGATTGTCTTTCCATCATACCATGAAGCAACTAAGTCTGTAGTGTGGCTCAAGAGTTATGCAGTGAAGGACAGTCAAGATTCCATGGGTCTTTTCTCCTTCCTTCTCTCCCTCCCTCCTTTTTCTCTCCATTCACATGGAATCCCTGAGCTAGAGGGAACAATAGAAACCATTTGGCCCAAGCCACACCTGCACAAAAATTCTTCCTGCAAGATTCCTAAAAAGTAGTCACCTGGCCTCTACCTGAAAACCTCCAGTAAGAGCACTATTGTTTAGTCACATCTGACTCTTCATGACCCCATTTTTTAGTTTTCTTGGCAAAGATACTAGAGTGGTTTGCCATTTCCTTCTCCAGGTCATTTGACAGATGAGGAAACTGAGGCAAACAGGATGAGGTGACTTGCCCAAGGTCACCCAGGTAGAAAATGTCTGTGGCTAGATTTGAACTCAGGAAGATGAGCCTTCCTGATTCCAAGTCCAGGGCTCTAGCCACTGCACCACCTAGCTGCCCCAGTACGATGGCTAAAGACTGCTAGAGTCAGTCAACCAGCATTTAAGTGCTTACCACGGGCCAGGCACTATCCTCAAAGAGCCGACATTCTAACGGGGAAGACAACACACAACACACAAACACCACTTTGAGACTGCTTTGTATTAGGAAGCTTAGTTCTTTGCAACAAATCCAATCCTCCTTCCCCCTTTTTTGGTTTGTTTGTTTGTTTTGGGGGGAGGGTGGAATCTTTTATTTTGTTTGGTGGTGTAAGAAAATAGTTTACTAATGCATATCAGCCACTCTTCAGTAATTTACAGCTTTAGAAAGTTGCCTGGGGGCCTGAGATGTTAAAGTGACTTGCTCAGAGTCCAGTATGTTTGAGGTGGGAGTTGAACCCAGGTCTTTGAGGCCTGCTCTCCATCCACTACAACACATTCCTTCTCTTTCCATGCGACAGTCCTTGAATAGTGCACACAGCAGGCGTTTTCATAGTTTAAGGCTTGGGAAGAGCTTGATCTACATTATCTACTTGTGTGATGCTGGACAAGTCACTTACCCTCCTGGGGCCTCAGTTTCCTAATCTGTAAAATGAGAGGATTGGACTCGATGACCTCTGCGGTCCCTTCCAGCTAGGATCTATGATTCTTCCAACGTCCAACCAAGGCCAGTGCTTTATCCACTGTACCATCCTGCCTCTCCTTATGAAGCTATCCACCAAGTCCTTCCTTTCTACAGGCTAAACATCTCTAATCCCTTCAATCAACTCTCATAAGGGATGCTCTCAAGGGCCTCTCCCATCCTGGAGGATGTTCTATAGCTCATCAGAGCCCTTCCTGAAATATGGAATTTACATCTGAACACATATTGTGAACTTACATTCTACTGGAGGTCAGGGGTGTGAGGGAGAGAACATACAGGTACACAGTATATAATGTATACAGTACACACATATACAAAGTTGGGGCAGCTAAGTGGCACAGTGGATAAAGAAGAAGGCCTGGAGTCAAAAAGACTCATATTCCTGAGTTCAAATCTGTCCTCAGACACTAGCTGTGTGACCCTGGACAAGTCACTTAACCATGTTTGCTTAGTTCCTCATCTGTAAAATGAGCTGAAGAAGGAAATGGCAAACCACTCCAGTATCTCTGCCAAGAAAACCCCAAATGGGGGTCATGAAGAATTGGATACAACTGAATGACTAAACAACAAAAATGTTATGTAATAATTATATAATCCATTTGGATTGCAAATATAGCTCCATTTCACAGGATTAAAATGTGTGAAAGATTAAAATATTAGTTTTGAATATGGGTCTGGAGAAGAATTTCTTTCTAACTATAATAACTCCCATAAACTACAAATGCTCCACAGAGGGGTTGCAATCTGCATTGGTGGGACAGAATGACTATACTAAAGAGATCCTGGGCTGTTGAAGCACTGAATAAGCAAATCCACCTCATATAAAATGAAAAGCTTTCAAATCAGAATACAATAGTAGAAATCATTTAAATTGTACCTCATTTTTCTTTGATGATTTCAAAGGGTCTTGTAGATAGGGTCACAGCATCAGCATCATAAACATTAACAATCATTGCATCATCCTGACAATTAGTAGCAACTCCCATTCCACAACCAGATAGACAAGCTTTTGCCACCTTAGCACAGTAGATGTGGTCAAAAGTGCTACTCCTGCTCAGAAAGCTCCCTGAGGTTCACACAAGCACGGCCGCCTAAGGGTGGGGTCTGTTTGCACAGATATGTATAAGAGTGAAAGGGAGGGGAAGAAGATTCTGTGGTTGGAAAGTGGGCAGCATATTAGTTCTCAAGGATTTGTGATATTTAGGACACCAAGTTGTTGTAATAGAAGTGTATGTGGAAATGCCTCTTGTAATTGTTGTTTGTTCTTTATTTTTGAAGAGGTCCAATGATATCACGGAGTTGTATCTTGACTCGTGTAAACTGGATTTAAGTGAGGTAGAGTTGCACAAAGTTGTCAGCCTCACTCTTCCAGAGTCATCCAAGTCTAGTCGCAAGACAGAAGTCAGGATGACTGTCGATGGCCCGAGATGCAGGGGAAGACCTTGGGGTCTTTGATGTCTAACCAAACCCAAGTACTCCACAGAGCCTACTTCAGCTGCCTTCATGGCTGCTGGAACAAATTGTTCTCATCTGCTCATTCCACTGGGGGAAATCTTCACATGGTTGCAGGAGACACTCCCCTAACTCACCGATGGATTTGAGGCCTGTCAGTTAACCCTCAACCTGGTTTAGCCCATCTGCCGAGATGATTTACTGGGGTGTGGCCACTATGGGTGCTACCGCTTCTTGGAGGCCCAGATGAGGTAAGTGCCAGGTGGACACCAAAGGTGGCCCCCAGGTGAGCCCTGAAAAGGGCTTGGTAAGCCCTCACACCAGAGGTGCTAGTCCTCTCTGAAGGCCCCACACACCCCATATCTCTTATGATAGGTACTTAATAAATGCTTATTGACTTGACTTTTGCAAATCAGACATACCCAGGTAATCAAAAATACCACACATTCCCAAAAGGCAGAGGTTTGTTCACTTTTTTCTTTTGTTCAAGACACATCTATTAGTTATCCAGTACAAAGTAGCAGGGTGTTGTGTGAATTGAAGGCTAGACTTCGAGTCAGGGTCCTGTCTCTGATACATGCTAGCTGTAGGACTCTAAGAAAATCACTAAGTAATTCTTTAGGTATAGATGACCTCTCCAAGGACGATTTTGTTTTTATGTTGGTATCCCTAGGACATAGTGTGGTGCTTAAATTGAATTGCTGCTCTGAATCCACCGAAATAATTTCCAAACCAATGAAATTACAGGTCTAGACAAGCAACAGAAGCACCCAATATTTGCAGAGTATGTGCTATTCATATTTAGCTAGGGAGATACAATGATTCTTCCTCACAGGGAGCTTACAATCTAAACTGATCCATCTAGAAATCACACACACACACACACACACACACACACACACACACACACACACACATTTACATTGACTGCATTTACATGATTTATGTGCTTACATTACTACAACAATGTAAATGGAAACAACAATACCAAAAGAAAACTGAACAATGCATAATTGGAATAACTTGGCTTAACCCTGAAAATGAGAAGACACACTCCCTTCATTTCTTTGCAGAAGTGAGCAACTGAGAGTGTACAACATCGCACAGTTGATGGATTGGCTTGTTTTGGTCAATTGCTTTAAAATGTCTTTCCTATCTTTTCTTATTCTGTTACAAGAGCTGGCTCACTGGATTAAGGGAAAGGAGAGGAATATATTTAGAAACAGAGGGATGTAAATGCCAAAGATATCAATAATTTTTTTTTAAATTGATCTGTCTAGAGCTTAGCACAGGTCATGAATAAAAACATCTTCTGAAAGCAATGATTATGAGGAAAGGAGCTCAGGTTTTTTGTGTATTCTGCAGTCAAACCACCATCCTCCAAGTGACTTTCCTTTCAAGGAAGAGATACTGTATATAAGGACCTTTGGTATGTCTGGATGCTTTACTCTTGCCTGGCTTAGTTGACCCAACACTGCCCTTCTTCAGGAGGGCTATCAGGTCTAGTGGAAAGACCATTAGGCCAAGGCAGGAGACTCAGATTCCAGTTCTAGCCTGCCAGTACTTAGCTGTGGGCTCTCTGGCAAGTGACTGCCCTTTTCTGGACCTCAGTGTGCTCATCAGTAAATGAGGAATGAATGATCCCCAAGGCCCTTCAGAGTTTTAACATCTATGACAACCTGCTGCCTATGAACAACAATACAAAATAACATTTCTTGAAGAAGCACTTTCATAAGTGCCCGTCTGCTCAAAGTGTGGGGTGGGGTGGGAGGGAAGGGATGTGGGTAAAAGGGCAGATGGCACCAGAAAATAAAGAAGCCAGGGCGTGTTGCTCATTAGCATCGGCCCCACTCCAGGCAGATACACATGCCTTGAACATCACAACAGGCCTTTGGAAACAAAAGGCGCAGCTGAGATGGGACCACCGTGTATTTTCATACTGTGTATCACCTCCAGATGCTGTATTTCCAGCCATCGGTTGAAGTGGTACCCGAGGGCACTTGGGAACTGGGTCCTCTGCTCTCAAGAAAGACACAATTCTTTTCAATGAAAATAAGGCACTCCAAATGGAGACAGGAAAGGAAACCATTAACAAAAGAAATGAATTATAGGACAGACAATGCATGACACACACTGACTGCGATGAGATAGATTTTAAATAGGTCTTAACTGGGAAAACATATGATTTACCCTAAGCCGGGAAGTAATAATTTAAAGCTGGCATATTTAATAGTTCAGAAAGATGAAGCTTGAGTCTGTCTGCCTCATGGAGATTGGAGAGAGGGGTACGAGACATATATCAGAAGAAAACAAAGTATTTGGGTTTTTCTATGCATTGCTTTTATTAGTCTCTTACCTTCCTATGCATTGTCTGAAATTCTCGAATTTGGATGCGAGGATATGCTGGCATAAGCACTGTCATTTTACAGATGGAGAAACTTCAGGACTGAGCCATTAATTAGGGTCACAGAAATTAGGCAGTGGCAGAAGCCAGGACAAAATCCTGGGCTCCTTATTCTCAGTTCCACGCTGTGTTATATCTTCCAGGTAACCCTGCCGCTAGCAAATGATGGTTACTATATTTTATTAGGGACTTTCTCAGCATTTATGCTTTGGAGCATTAGATATTAAAAACAAAATTAAAGCATTCAAAGAAATAAGAAGGAAAGATCACTGTTTTCAAGGCAACACAGCAAACTTGCTGAAATCCACAAGAGTTTCCAAGGATGTAACAAGTATCTTTGGAAGGAAGGGTTATTTGAAGATGGTTAAGTCTATATCCAGACCTGAAGTCCTCCTCTGCTATTTCTCTCTGCCACTGTGAACTAGGGCCCAGGCAACAGGACTGAGAAACCACTACAACTGTCTCAGGAGCACACCTATCACTATACACAGCCAATTCCTAATGTTCAAAAAAAAAAATCAAGATTTCTGGTTGTTTGGGTTAATGTTGTCCACATTAGTCCAGAATACTGACCTCTCAGTTTGGAATGTCAGCTGTCAATGAGTGTCAGAAATCTGTGGAGGGGACAAAAATGTTCAGCCTAATTTCCTTCAAACCAATTTCTCAGCTGCTCAGAATGACACATTCAGGTCAAATCCAGGGCTACTCCGCTGTCAGAGATGAACTGAGTGGCTGTAAAGTCCGGCGGCTCGTCTGCCTCTTGTTAAATGAGAGAATGTGGAGTTTCCTGCTCTGAGGGACGACACAGAGCATGGCATCGATAGTCTGGGTGACGACCTGGCCAGATGCCCGGAGCTTGTCCCAGATCTCTCTGAATCTGGCCTGGAGAGCTGGCTGTCCCTCTAATTTCTCCTTCACTGTGGTCAGCTGTGAGGAGAAGAGAAAAACAAAATATAGAAGGCCTTCAAGACAGTTCCCTTGTTCCTTTCTTCCTCCTGGCTGCTCCTGCCACCCCCACCAAAAGACCTTTTAGTGATTTTGTACAGACTTAGTTGTGTGCGTGTCGTCTCTCCACATGGAATATAAGCTCCCTGAGGACAGGGACTATTTCATCTGTCCTGGTATTTCTGGCACACAGGGCAGTGCCTGGCATAGAGCAGGTGCTAAACAAAAGATGGATTAACGCATGTCACATTTAGGGAGTGTTATGAAAACTGGGGTGGAGGGACAATAAAAGGCCACTGTTGTTTTGTTCAGTCATGTCTGATTCTCCATGATCCTGCGCACACCAACACTGTCCATGGGGTTTTCTTGGCACAGGTACTGGAGTGACTTGCCATTTCCTTCTCCACTGGATTAAGGCAAAAGAAGTTACACAGGGTCACACAGCTAGTGAGTGTCTGAGGCCAGTTCTGAATGCCAGGCTCTGTGCTCTGAGGCCCAGTGAGCTACCTACCTGCCTCCAAGGCAGACAGGGTTAAGTGACTGGCCCAGGTGTCTGAGTAAGTAGTAAGTGTCTGAGGCTGGATTTAAACTCAGGCCTTCCTGATTTCAGGCCCAGGACTCTATCCACTGAGCCAACTACCATCATTTAACACATGGGGCTACAAAACCAAGAGAATAGATCCACAAATTACACATACCCATCACAACCTGAGAGTCACACCTTGGATATTTAGTAAGCAAGAGCTTAAAACAGTACCTCTGACCCAAAGAGATGTACCAGGGAACAGGCGGGGAGAAGCTCATTAAAGCAAGTGAAGTAAACTTATTTGATTAGACATCATTACAATAGCAGAGTCCTTTTTGGCCCTACTAACCCAATCATTTCTTAATTCACCTCAAGTTGCATGAATTTGGCTTTCTGAAAACTGCTTCCCAAGTACTAATTTAATCACATGGGATGAAAGGCGAGTGACTTTCTTGTACCCACCCTCAACAACCACTACTACCACCACCACCACCAGGACAGGCTTCAGTCACAGTGCTGCAGGATGTCTTATGAGGCTCAACAGGCTAGGGACGGTGAAAGACTTGTTGAGGCCACAAGCATTTACTGGGCACTGGCCACGTGAAGCTATTCTGCTATCAAATGGAGAATTCAGGAAATAGCTTCATTACCACGTCACATACTAATTAAGGGAACAAACCAACATCTACATAGTACTGTAAGGTTTGCAATGATCTTTACCTACATTATCTCACTGGATCCTCACCACAACCCTACAGATGATGGTCCTCTCTCCAAAGGTTTTAGGTCTCAACCCATAGATACCTGCTAATCCCATGCAACTCTTACCAATGCCTCCCATGATTTTGCCATAGAAGGTCCACCCAACATGGTGATGGCTTTCTTTGAGTTCTCTTAACACTAGAGGCTATCAATGGAGCACACAGCTGGCTGACAGGTATTCCTCACTGGTACCTTGTGTTTATATGTTCTTTTTTATTCATAGATTTTTTGAATGACTTTTATTTTTTGTTTGCTTTTTGGTGAGGCAATCGGAATTAAGTGACTTGCCCAGGGTCACACAGCTGGTGAGTGTTATGTGTCTGAGTCCACATTTGAACTCAGGTCCTACTGACTCCAGGGCCAGTGCTCTATCCACTGCACTACCTAGCTGCCCCTTTGAATGACTTCTTACTCCATTTTTGTTCTAATTCCTTGTTTGCAACATGTTGTAGGCTGTCTACAACCTCTCCACTGTCATCTGGGAGATAATAATTTTCATATATAGGGGGACTGTTGTGTTCAAGTGCAGCCAGACATCATTCTTGGCTAGGAGTTGAGTACTACTGCGCTGCAGTGAGAGATTTTTTGTAGTCAGAAGCCTTGAGATCAAACCCTGATTCTGTATGATCTTAGATAAATCATTTCGTCCTTCTGGGGGCTCAATTTCCTCATCTGTAAAGGGATGAGGCTGGGTTAGCTTATCTCTAAAATCCTTCCCAGCTCTCAATCTAGATAGATATGATCCAAGAGATTAAGAAACTGAGGCTCAAAGAGGCTGTGACCTGCTGAAGGTCATGCAACTCGTAAATGACAATGAGTGGGACTCGAACCCTGGTCTCTACTGATTTCAAGTCCAGCACTCTTTCTATGACACCACACTGGGTCTCTAAGCTCCTGAATCACTATGACATTTCCACATGGCTTCAAAATGTCTTTCAACAGAGATAAAATAGACTGATTCTTGCATTTAAAAATTCGGTTTCTAAAAAGGAAACTATGATGCTTTTCTCATAAAAATACTATAAAGAAGGGAAGTGTTGTTTGGACTTAATAAAACGATGGAAAAGACTAAGTCTTATACTTTGCTGTATTTCCTGAACACAAATGATCAACATCTGTCTGCTGACTGGCAAAGCAAAAATAGAGAACTGGGAACTACACTCAAAACAGAATAAATGACATGGATTTGCTAACCCTGGAACTGAACACAATCTAAATGCTAGGTGATCATATTATATATACAATGTAACATAATACATCATAGTATATTACATGCTAAGTGAAAGGTCGAAAAAACCCACATACTTACCTTGTTTGAATTCAAAATTCAAAACCCAAAGAGAAAACAGAGGAGAAAGGAGAGAAAAGAGAAGTGGGAGGCTTGTGAGGGGGCTTGTAGAAAAGGGATGGGTCTCATTCTGCTTGATCCCAGGAACAATCAGCAGGTATAGCCAACAGGCAGGTTTATGCATGATGCAAAGAAAACCTTCCTATAACTAGAGTGGTCCCAAAGTGGAATAGTTTGCTTTTGGGAGGCAATGGTTTTGTCCCCACTAGATGTCTTCAAACTAAGGCCATTTGTTGGGTATGTTATAGAAGGGGTTGCTGTTCAGACACAGTCTGAATGATGACCTCATCACAGTGCCTGGACCCCAAGAGTCTTCAACACAGGGGGAATTGTCTAAAAATAGGTGCCATCTGAGCCAAGCATTGGAGGACGGGTGGTTCTTTAACAGGGAGGAATGGAGGCGCTGAGTAACGGGCACTCAAAGTGAAGAGGGACCTGAGCACTGCAAGTACAGGGTGTATTCGGAAGAGATGAGCCATCTAAAATTTCACATAAATCAGCCTGAAAAGGTAGAGTGGGGCCATATCACGTAATGCCTTAAATGCCATATTAAGGAGTCTGGACTTTTTTTTTTTTCCTAAAGGCAGTGGGAAGTTGGTAGAGGTTTCTGAGCAGGGGGACAACACTGGGAACGATTTTGTTAGGAAGATTATGGTGGCAGTGATTTACAGGCTGGATTAGAGGAGGTAGAGACCGGAGAGCAGAGAAGGAAGGCTAATTCAGTCCCCCTCCCCTACAGTATTTAAAGAGATTTAATTCATGATCACGATTCTCAACACACCCATCGGCCTACACTCACTTTCCGGATACGCTGCAAGCCTCTGTCTCCCTTTTGCACTGTGACTCCCCGTGGAATCTTAATGCCTGAAAGGTTCTTAATGTTCTTATGAGGAACAGCTTGCTCTGTCACCAGGTTCAAGGTGAACAGAATTAATGTGCAGCATAAGGTTTCCCCCAAAAAGCAGTGCCAAGCTGTCAAGCCTGGGCTAACTTCACTCTAATTGAATGTACTGCCTCAGTTCTCTCGGAGAGCTGTGGAAACATTAAATGGAATTATTACAGCTATTCTGCCATCTAAGCAGGAAAGAGAAGGTGCCAAATTTGTTCCCTAATTTAGTTCATAAAAAAAATCAATGAAGGAGAAGCCTGTGTTTTAGTCATTTGAACATCAGTTTTGCAGAAGGAGAAAAAGGGGGGAGGGGAACAAGCATTTATTAAGCACCTACTATGTGCCAGGCATTGGGCTAAGCACTGTATAAATATTAATTCATTTTATCCTCATGACAACTCTGGGAGGTAGGTGCCATCAACAGTCCCATTTCACAGCTAAGGAAACAGAGGCAGACAGAGGTTATGACCAGCAAAAGACAATTGTCTAATACCCTTTCTCTTGCCAGTCACTAAACAGGGCCCATTTTCAGTTATCATTCCTGTGAACACATGGCATAAGAGGATTATATTTTGAGCTGGAAAAGTCCATAGAGGCAGGGTCTGAACTGACGGCCTCTCATCACCAATCTAGCACTTCGCCCACCATATGCCTAGGTGCCTCTAATGTTATTTACAAAAAGCAAACTCAAGACAACTGATCATTTGAATGTGGTCTGGGGCATACGCTTTACTCTCCTCGAAACAGAGCTGGCTTCAGAGCTCCATTCTCCACATGCTAACACACCAAAGTGGAGCGTCCCAAAAGCACTGGACTTGGGAATCTGGAGGCTTGTTTCCAAGCGCTTACTAGCTAAATGACTTATGCCTACCCTCTCATATCAGGCAGCTCTCTGATCAGTCTCACAGTACCCAGGGGAAAAGTCTAAATGGGTTGCACATGTTTTTAAATTAGAATCCATCTAAAAAAACTTTGGGGGAAAAAAAGGACCTTCAGGCTGAGTTAAAATTGAAAGTATTTTTTAAAAAATCAGTAATTTTCCACATGAATTTTAGGTAGGTAATACATATTTTCAACAGAGAAGATGAGTATAAATGATGGAACTCTGGATGAGGAGTCAGGAGACCCAGATTTACTGATGGCACTGCCACTAACCTGCTGTGTGTCCTTGGCCAAGTCTCTATGTTAAGACATAAGGGAAGGCTCAGGGAAAGGCCCAGCTAGGTTGGAGCATACTAAGCAACAACAGGATGTCAGCTGCTGGCCACAAGGGGGACGTGCTAATTCTAGGACTTTTGGCTAATCCTGGAATGTGGATGGAGAAAAGGATGGATTAAAGTGAGGAGGCTGAACAATCTCAGGTACATAATGGGTCTCTTTCGGGTCTGCCATGAGTGGAAGAAAAGAGTTAACAAATGTTTTTTGGCCTCTGAAGTTTCCCAGTTGGGCTGCATTTCCAGGGCCATGACTACAGGGTGGGGGCAACAGATAACACATGTTCTTTCTCTGAGCCTCAGTTTCCTTATCTTTAAATGAGAAAAGGGGGAGGGGGGTGGTGCACAACTAGATGATATCTAAGTTATCACAGTGGGCCAAGCTCTCCCAAAGGGACTTCTCTGATGAAAACCAAGAAAGTTGTGCACCAAGACCACTGGATTTAAGATCAGGGAGACCTGGGTTCAAACCCCACTGCATACAATTATTAGCTATGTATCTTTGATCAAGTCACTTAAACCTCTTTGAGTCTCAGTTTCCTCATCTGTAAAACAGGACTGCAGTGGTTGTGAGAAGCAAATGAGATAATGGAGGTACAGTGCTTTGCAAAGTTTAAGCGCTATATAAATGTATAACTGTTCTTTTCCTTTAACACTATTTATTTTTAACATTTTAAAAAAAATTTTGAGTTCCAAATTCTTTCCTACCTTCCAGTCTGCCCTCCATCCCTTCAGAAGGTAAATAATGTGATATCAATTATACATGCAAAATATATTTCCATATTAGCCATGTTGCACCAAAAAAAGGGGAAAAAAATCTGCTTCAATCTGCATTCAAGAGTTCATCAGTTCTCTCTCTGGGAGTGGAGAGCATTTTTCATCATGGGTCCTTTGGAATTGCCTTGGATCATTGTATTGATCTGAGTAACTAAGGTTTTCACAGGTGATCATGATTAACACTGCTATTTAATACTCCTGCTAGGTCTACATGCCAAAGAGATCAAAGAAAAGGGGAAAAGATCTATTTGTACAAAAATATTTATAGCAGCTCTTTTTGTGGTGGTAAAGAATTAGAAATTGAGGGGGATGCCTATCCACTGGGGAATGGCTGGACAAGTTGTGGCATACAACTGTAATGGATTACTATTGTACTATGAAAATGATGGGCAGGATGATTTCAGAAAAACCTGGCAAGACTTATATGAACTGACGAAAAGTGAAGTGAGTAGAACCAGAAGACCACTGTACACAGTAACAGCAACAGTATAATGATTATCGACTGTGAAAGACTTAGCTACTCTGATCAAGACAATGATATGAGACAGTTCCAGAGGACCCATGATGAAAAATGCTATCCACCCCTGGAGAATCTAGTGAATACTGAACTATGCTTTTTTTATTTTATTTTATTTTTCTTATGTTTTGGGGTGTGTGTTTTCTTTGGCTAATATGTAAATCTGTGTTTTGCCTGACTAAACGATATCATATTGCTTGCCTTCTTGAGGGTGGAAGGAGGAAGGAAAGAATTTGTAACTCAAAAGTTTTTATAAAATGAATGTTAAATTTTTTTACATGTAATTGGGAAATATTTAATGAAACAAAAAAATATATTTTAAAAAATATTACTGTAACTATAATGTTCTCCTGGTTCTGGTCACTTCACTTTGCATCGGTTCATATAAGATAGGTAAGTTTGAAAAAAAAAAAAAGAATCCCAACCCATAATTCCACTTTCTAAATTTTCTTTAATATCTTCTTGGTATGATGCAACCCATGTTGCACAAATTTCATTTTGGATAAATTTCAATTTGCACAAATTTCATTGCTGGATCTCTCATATGACTGAAAGTCAACATATGAAACGGGTATCTATCTGCCACTGTGGGTACCTACTTTACTCCACAGGAGAACAGGAAATGGGTGAGATGACTCTCAAATGAGAAGACAAAATACCAATTTGACCTCAAATCAGTTATGGCCCTCCCTAGAGAATTTCTACTCAGATGAGGAAAGGTTTTTGATTTCTCCTGGTATCCTTCTGAAGGGCATGGCAAGGAAGAGAATAAATCCAAGAAGAAAAAAAAATGAAGTAGAAACGAGTAACATGATGTTTTTTTGGAATCCTGGTATGGGATTGTGAGGCAAAAGCAAAAAGTACCAATAAAACTTATTTTAACAAACAAACACATTCTGCAGAAGAAAAGTTACCATCAGGCAGCTGGCTGGCCAAGCTAATTTGGGGCCAAAGAACCTTCCACTCGAGATTGTGAGGTCATGTGGAAAAGCAACAATGGGGACCTTTGGCAGCCTGGCTTGTCTTTTGTAATACTGACAGAGTTAATGGGGAGGAAAGAAGGCTGTTTGGAGCAGAATTTTCCAGAAGTGGAGGTGCAAGTGGAAAGAACACTCCATTATTTAGGGGCTAATTATCTAGGACCCACATTCTTGGCTTCTCTTCCCTCCCATTAGCTACCTCACTATCCTCCCGGTAATGCTTCTCCCACAAGGTGACTACGGAGAGGGAATGGCACCTCTAGTCAATCAATTTTTGCCACCTAGACACAGCTCTGACAAGAAAGGAGTTGAAAAATGACATGGAGGCTAGGGGTGAGAAAGGAGATGGAGGCTGGGGATGGGCAGTCCAGTTAGATGACTAATTCTACCAAACTCAATGGATTCTAGGTAGAAATGATGAGTTATAAGAATAAGAGTGTCCCTCAAGCACTTAACCTACACAACTATTGTCCTTATTTTCCTCTATCAATGAAAGCAAGATGTGTTTAGGTGCCTCATAGAACTGTGCTTTGTAATTCAATAAAGTGGAAAAACCATCAAATAATTATTTGTTGATCACAAGTTTCCTTTCCTTTTTTCCCTTCCCTTTATCTTCTTGGTCAATTGTCAGTTGCACAAATGGTACTGTGGATAAAGGCCTTAAAAGTAAGGAAGACCTGAGTTCAAATCCCACTTTTAGCACATATTGGCTGTGTGACCCTGGGCAAGTCACTTAACTTCTTAATATTAGGCTAGGCTACCCTCTAAGTTGTTGAAAAGTATAGTTAGAGATCTGCACCGATAGAGGTAATGTATTCATTAAGAATATTCTACATTAGAGGTGTCAAACTCACAACTCATAAAACTCTGAAGTGCAGCCAGAGCCAAATTAAAATGTAGGTGGGAAATGTTAGACAAAATAAGTGAAAACAGAATACAACATAATATTAATTTGTGGTTTCCACATTAATATGAGACCCACAGGGATCCACTTCTATTTGAGTTGGACCACCACTGATGTATGCCACTGAAATCACAATTCTGTCTTATTAGCTGCAAAATTGTGACTCTCCAGGCTGTCATGGGCTATGGATACATCATGATATGGGCCACTAGGTGATGCAGTGGATAGAGTGCGCCAGGCCTGGACTCAGGAAGGCTCATCTTCCCGAGATCATTTCTGGCCTTAGACACTTATTAACTAAGTGAACCTGGGCAAGTCATTTCACCCTGTTTGCCTCGGTTTCCTCATCTGTAAAATGAGCTGGAGAAGGAAATGGCAAACCACTCAAGGGTCTTTGCCAAGAAAACCCCAAATGGGGTCACAAAGAGTCAGAAACAACTGGAATGACTGAACAAATCCCTCACAATCAGTGTTAGTGCACGTGGGGGCTTATATTCTGTTAGGATGGGAGAGAGACACCCTTTGAAAGTAGTGATGATGATAGTTTACATTTGCAAAGTGCTTTTTAAAAGCACTTTATTACATCACTACATTATTTGTTATTGTTATACAGTCATTTCAGTTGTGTCCCCAACCCTTTGTGACCTCATTTGGGGTTTTCATGGCAGAGACATTGAAGTGGTTTGCCATTTTCTTCTCCAGTTCATTTTACACATGAGGAAACTGAGGCAAACAGGGTGAAGTGATCTGCCCAAGGTCACACGACTAATAAGCGTCTGAGGCCATATTTGAACTCAAGTCTTCCTGACTTCAGGCCTGTGCCCCCTAGTTGCCTATTCACTACATTATAACCCTGACAATAACCTGGCAAGTCACAATAGTATACCTGCCCCAGGTCACATGCTATTACACAGTTAAGCTAGAAACTGTACCCAGGTTTCCTAACTCCATGGTTTTTCTATCCCCTAAACCATGATAATTTTTCCTTTACAGCCCTCAGTACAGTGCTAGCATAGTAGGAGCTTAATAAATATTTAATGTATTGGATTAAAGCCAAGGTTGTGCTAAATTTAACCCTGACATAAGACTGCCTAACTCACTCTGGACCCCCATTAGGCACAGTCCACTGCAGCTCAGAGCGCCTGAGCTCAAGAGATCTGCCAGAGTCGTCCTTCCCAGTCCCAGGTCCTGCACCACCAAGCCTAGCAGGTGCTTCGCTTTTCACAGATTTTTCCATCCCCAGGTACTTACCACTTCCTCTGAGAACTGTTCCTTCTTCACAAAGCTGAAGGGGTTTTTTTCGGCAGATGCCTCCAGTATCTGCAGGGCTCCTTCCAACATGCCTGAGTGGGCATGGATAAGGATCTGGACCATAGAAAGAACCAAATACCACTGGTTTGGAATTTGAGGACATGAACCTTGACAGACTACATCATACCCTTGGAGACAGGCACAGCAGAAAGTCTCATCTGGATGTTCTTGGGCCTCCCTTGTTACGCTATCTCCAAAAACTGGGGTCTATGAACTTGTTTGATAACTATTCTGATAACTGTATTTCAACACAATTGATTTCCTTTGTAATGCTTTGTATTTCATTTTATGCACTGAGAAACATTATTCCAGGAAGGGAGCCACAGGCTTCCCCAGATTGCCAAAGGACACAAAAAAGGTTAAGAACTCCTGCTCTAAAAGATGCCCACAAAATGTACCCAGATGACAGGAAATCCCATTACCCTAATATCCAACCCAAGGTGCGGCAAGCCATTAAAAAAAACAAAATAACTTAAATGTTCTTTCTGCATCTGAGGGCCAACCGATTACAATACAACTCTGCCCTCACGCAATCATGCCGTTAATATGGAAGGCTCGTGGGTGGAGGTCAACAAGTTGCATATATTTTCAAAAGTATTCAATGTATTGTTTTTGCTAATTTTTCCCTTTTTTTCTTTAAAAAAAAATCTGTTATATTACATAGCTCTAAAAGAGTGAAGAGGAGAGGTGCTGGGAGAAATTGTGTTGATGCAAAAATCTTAACAGAGATCAATAAAAATTTGTTAAAAAAATTATAGGATCACAGGAGCTTGAAGGGACCAACTAACTGCTAATGCCCTCCCTCCAAAATGACCTTATGTTGAACTACTTCGTTCATATTTGTATTTATTCAAATTATATTTATGCTGTATATAAATTTTTATATGTATTCATCATGTTCACCAGTTGAATGTTGTTATTCAGGCATGTCCAACTCTTTGTGACCCCATCTGGGGTTTTCTTGGCAAAGATACTGGGGTGGTTTGCCATTTCATTCTCCAGCTCATTTTACAGATGAGGAAACTGAGGCAAACAGGGTGAAGTGACTTGCCCAGGGTCACACAGCTATTAAGTGTCAGAGGTCACATTTGAACTCACATCCTCCCGACTCCAGGTCTGGCACTCTATCCACTGTGCTGCCTAGCTGCCCATTTGAATGTCAGTTCTCTACAAGTAGGGATTATTTTATTCTTTGTACTTATATCCTCATGCCTGGCCCCAAAGCGCCAGCCATACAGTATCCACTTAAATACTTCTTGATCTACCGCACTCCATCTAATCCAACCCTTGTAAATAAAATTGAGGAAACTGAGGCTCAGAGTGGTTAAGTGATTTCCCCAGGATGCCCTCAGGCAGGGCATGACACAGGCAACATTGGAACCCAGATCTTCTGACATTAAGTCCAGCCCTTCAAGTACCCACTAGTACTAGATTAATATGTAATTGGGAAATATTTAGCACAACAAATAAAAATATAAATTATAATAAAAGATTAAATTGCAATAAAAATACCCCCCAAAAGTTATGATGCAGTTACAGGGATCCATTTCTTTCTGAGTTAGACATTATTGAACCACACTATCCCTACACCTTACAAACGTTACTTCTCAACGGTCCTGTTGGGTAGGCAAGTAACATTTGTGACTATTTAACAGCTTGAGAAACAATAGCACATATAGAATTAATACTTAATATATGAAGGAGAACTTCTTGTATTTATTGATTCACACCCTATCTACCAAACCATCAAAAACATGCACTGTCTTGAATTCATCCGAGAAAGGAAGATTATGGCCCTTTCTTTTCTCCTCCTCCTCCTCCTCTTCCTCCCATACACAGGGCAACCACTGAGTCACATTTCCAGCAGTAATGGATTTCTATTACACACACACACACTGTCTCACCCATTGCTTGTAAAAGCAGGAATTTGTGGGGTAGTTTTCCAGGATTAAGGATGTAGTCTCCATGGAAAAGATTAAAACTAACTAGCCCAAAAGATGAATAAATCCACTCACTTGTGCTCAGCCCCAAGCTCTCATCAATTAAGCTAACTAGCCATACACAAAGGAATTGTGGGTAAAGCTAGAAGGGACTTGAGTTATTCTCTATTGAGGCCTAGAGAGGCAAGAGACTTGCCCAAGCTTACACAGGGAGTAAGTGGCAGAGCTGGGATTTGAACTTGGGTCCTCTGACTCCAAATTCAACATTCTTTCCACTGTACCATATACTCCCTCCCCTAAGTGTAGCTCATTGTTGTTCATTTGTGTCCAATTCTTTGTGACCCCATTTTGGGGTTTTCTTGACAAAGATACTAGAGCAGTTTTCCATTCCCCTTTTACAGATGAGGAAACTGAGGCAAACAAGTTTAAGTGACTTACCCAGGGTCACACAGCTAGTAAGTATCTGAAGTCAGATTTGTACTCAGGAAGATGAGCCTTCCTGACTCCAGGCCGCTACTCTATCCACTTCAACACCTGGCTACTCTTTAGTGTGGCTGAGGTTTTATATACATCCATATGTAAGTTAGTTGCTAGGGTTACTGAATGAGGGCCACATTTTATTCATCAAACGGAAATTACATAGCAGAATAATAACTTAACAGAGCAGAGCTGCCCAATTAGGGATATAGGTGATTCACCCACATTTGCTGTACTTTGGAACAGAAAGATCAGATCATAGGGCATATTTAGCATCTTAGTAGGTTTTTGCTTATTAGCAGGTAAGCAAAAGACCACTTACTTCTTTAAGAAGAGAAAATGGTGTACAGCAAGATTCGGAGATCACCTTTGCCTCACTCCTCTGGATCTCAGTTTCCTCACTTGTAAAATGAGATGATTGGACTTCATGACCTCTAAGGTCCCTTCCAATTCTAAACCCTTACCAGTATCACTGCCAACCTCCGTTAATAACTGTGAAACCCAGAGTGCCCTGGGGCTGCCTTTCCTTTCCTAAGAGCTGAGAGGTTACAACCCCAGTAAAATTTACCCTAACACTGCCCAGTGGAAAAGTAGTACCTTGCAGGCCAAGGCTGGACACAAGCAGAAGGAGGGTTCTGGCAGATTTCACTTTCTCTCCTCAAATTACTTCCTTTCTGCAAGTAACCTGGTTCCAAAGAGGGTTTTCAAGGCCAGATCAACACCTTGGCTCACAATTTAAGATGAGGAGGTGATGGATATGGGCAAGGAGAAGGAAGAGATTCTTATCAGCTTCCTGTCCCCTAGCTGAGGTTTCTGGGGGAGAGACAGCAGAGGAGAGGGCCTGGTATTGCTCTAGTTGAGGAATTTTTAACCTGGGGTCCACAAAACCAAAGGGTTCCAAAGGCAAATTCTTCAGGGGGTCCGTAAGATTAGAGGGTAACAAAAAAAATTAGATCTTTATTTTCACTAACTTCTATCAGCTTCCCTTAACCTAGGGTCCAAGAATTTTTTAAAAATTTGATAACTGTATTTCAATATAAATAATTTCCTTTATGATTCTATGTATTTCATTTTACACATTTAAAAATATTCTGAGAAGGGGTTCATGGGCTTTACCAGACTGCCAAAGAGGTTGAGAAAGACTGCTCTAATCTTTCAAGAGATATCAAAATGAAGGCCATGAAAATCGAATTTCAAGAGAGAAGGGGAAAATTTGATATGAGAAACTATTTATGGAGTCTCTGCTCCCTTCGCCACCATAATCACCCTCCACCCCAGGAAATAATGCCAAGTCACAAGGATGCTGCGGTCTTGCAGGAATTTGATATAAGTGGATTTTTTAAAAGGTGCACAGTAGTTCCAAAGAACATTTAAGAATTGGATAAGTCTCTCTCTCTTTCTCTCTCAAAGTTGGATACAACCTGAAGTGGCTCCCGTGGCCAAAAAAAGACTACTGTCATAAAGGGGGTTGTAAGAGTACCCTATAGTCCACTAGGGAAAATAATGGATTTGAAGTCAGAGTTCAAATCTTGGCTCTGGTGTGAAGTACTTGTATGACCACTGGCAAAGCATTTCACCTCTCTGGGCCTCAGTTTCCTCATCTGTAAAACAGGAAGCAGAACAGATGACCTCTTAGGTCTCTTTCCAGCTTTAAATCTATAGATTTAATAGAGCTCGAGTCTTACCCTATTTCTTATGTTTTAGTCTGGGAAGGCTTCCTGTTTGGTATCACAAGATCTACAGAAAGCTGAGCTAGAAAAAGCCTCAAAGGCCATCTGGTCCAATCCCCTCATTTTACTGCTGGGGAAACTGAGGCCCACTGATCTGTTACCTGTCCAACTCACACACACAGTTTTATCTCTGCCATTTATCATGACAGAGCCAGGATTTTGACCCAGACACTCAGAATCTAAATTCCATGTTCTTTCCACCGTACCATTCAGCATATAATGGGATTTAAGGGTAATCTTTGACAAAGGGGAAGGATGGAGCTTAAAAGAGTTCTACCTGTGCCCTACATACAGATAAGGGCAGCAACAGTAACTATGGTAACCATGTGCTGCCATTACATGTTAGCCCTCAAAGCAAAAGAGAACAGGTAACACCATTTTGAAATCAAGTCTCCCTTTGGAACCTTGCCAGTTATACACAGAAATGATCAAATTCAAATCAAATCACTGGAAATTTACCCTGATCTCGTTTCTGCTGGTTCCAGACATATCTGGAAGTGGAAATTAATCCTCTGATATTGAGCAGAATACTAAAGAGTATCTGAAGCTCTTTCAATATTGATGGTCTCAGCTCAGACAGGCAGAGCTGAGCCGTGATAGTGTCTGCATGAGATATCCCAATCAATCAATGCTGTATCGACTGGGGAAGAACTGGAAAATTGACAATGCAGGCCCCTGGGCATATTGGCTAAAGGAAGGATATAGATAAGAGGAAGAGTGAGGAAATGGAAGATTAGGTCAGTTCAAATTCCAAGTGATAAAAGGAAAAGATCTTAACATGAGTCATTAATTCAAAAGCTAGGTAAATTTTGTGAATAATGACTGATCAGCTGCCATTTGTCAGGTTTCCCTTGAACAATAATTAACAAAATGCCTTAAAAATTACTAGGGAAACTTAGCCCTAAACAATGCTGATTCAGAGAAACCTTTTCCGAAGGTTTTTAGAAATTATTACTTAGCACAGAAATGATCCTTTAGCATATACACGTGTGTGTATTGATTAAAATGATTTGAGTTGATTAATAATAGAGTTCGAACATTTGACCTTTATTCTTCTGAGAATGGCAACCTTCTCTATTTCTTCTCCTCTGAGGTTAAGATATGGAAGAGGCTTAAGCCAAAACATGAGGAATTTAGCTTAGACACAAGGAAGGGCTTCCTGACGGAGCTGTCTCTAACCCCTCTAGGAGTTGATGAGGTCTGGCATTCAAAGTTCTTGATGATCTCCTGTTCCAGCTAACTTCCCAAACTACTTTCATACTATTCCAAAGGTTCTAAATTCTTGATATATCAAACTCTTTGTCCCCTGTACTTCCTGACCTAGGCAACTAGGTGGCAGAGTGGACAGACAGCAGGAAATGGAATCAGAAAGATTTAAGTCAGAATTAAGGGGCACAGGTGGAACTCGAATTTGGAAATTGAATTTGGGCAGTCAGAGAGGTTGCAATTGTTTGTCCTTTGTCCTCGAAGAGGACCATGACATCAGGGAGGTGATGAGATGACTTGCAAGTGGATTGGATTTAAGTGAGGGAGGGCTGTGGAAAGTCACCAGCCTCATTCTCTTCTCCAGATCCATCTGGGTCCAGTGGTAAGATATAGATCAGGATGACTGGAGATGGACCTGGATGCAGTGGGACACCCTGGCCTTTGTAAGCTAAGGTCTTTCTCACTTCTCATTTTGACTGAGTCAATGCCTATTCAGTGATTAAGGCTAGGTAAGATGGCCAACAGAAGGAGTGAGAGTGAAGGGGACAGCTGCGGTGACAGAGATTATCCAAAAATAAAAAAAAATTACATGGCATTTTCATAAAAATCTTTGTACAGTTTTTAAACTTTAAGACTTTCATACCTTAGATTGGGTGGATAGGATAAGAACAATCTATTAATAGGATTTAAAGGAAAAAAGAAAGTTCCTCTCAAGTGATAATGGACTTCAGTTCTGCTTGCCTTATCTATATAGGAGAAATAGCTTTCTCCTTATCCCACTATCTGCAAAAAGGCTAGCCTGTGTACAGTAACTGTCCTAAAGTTTAAAAAAAATATTTAAAAATGTACTTGACTTTTTGTTCGTGTCACACCTTTCTGTACCCCAAGTAGCTGAAGGTACTAAGAGTTAACAAAGACTTTATAGGAAAAGATGTAGTGACTACCAAAATCCACACCATCCCTATACAGCGGGCATCATTTTATTGACCCTTAGGGCCTATGTTGATATCGAAAATGATCACTTACATTTAAATTATTGCATGCTTTGCTGTTTGGGTTCAGGATGTGAGAATAAATGGATCTTGCCTTTGCCACCTGGTTCTGAAAGGAAAAAAAAAAGCAGCAATATCACAGGTGAAGATTGTTCTATCAGGGTAAATCTATGAAGATTTAGTTATCTCCAGGACCATGGAACACCTCCTTTCTTCCAAGAACCCGAAAGGTGATCCTTATGGAAACAATCCTTTCCCAATCATTAAACATTAATATTCTATGGAATTCTTCAAACAGCATGTAACTGATTTCTTTTCTATTTCTCTGTTGCTTCTTGTGGTGAGAATGGGCTGGAGAAATGGCAACCAAAGACTTTCTAGCATGTGCTAGTCAGCTGGGCTGAGGGCTCTTTCCTTGGTGATCTCAGAAGGCCAAATGAGAAAGAGATGGAACGAGGGCCCTCCTTAGGGTTGCTATTCCCTGCAGGACAAGCCCATAGGGCCTACTTCTTAGATAGAAACACTTGAGAAGGAAATCCCAATGGGTTGCAACAACTCATACATAAAGACAGAGAAAAATGGAGTTCTAAGAACTCTGCCAGTTCAGGGACCCCTTTGGACCTGTGGTTCATCTAATCACAAATTTTATGCCAGTTACTTCGTGGAATACTTACTCTCCCTTCCCTCAACTAAGTGGGTGACACTAGTGAACACCAGCATTAGCTCTCACTCTAGTGCAGTGTTAAATAGCACTGCTCCTAATGAGTGACTGTCAGTGGTCAGTCAACAGACCTTTAGGAAACACTGTATTTCAAAGCACCATATTAAGTGTTGTTATTTGTCCTTCATTCTCAAAGATGACCATGACATCAGGAAGGCAATGCCATGACCTGCAAGTGAACTGGATTTAAATGAGGCAGGGCTGTGTAGTCACTAGCTTCACTTTCTCCTCTGGAGCCATGTGGGTCCAGAGGCAAGATACAGATCAGGATGACTGGAGATGGCCCGATGCAGTAGGAGACGTTGGCCTTTTTAAGCTAAGGTATTTCCTTGGTTTCAGTTTGTCTGAGGCAATGCCCATTCAGTGATCAAGGTTGGGTAAGAAATGAGACAAAGAATGGCCTCTTTTACCTAGTCAAAAAAAAATCATTCTGGGAGAGGAAGATGTTTAACATGTAGTAAGGCATAAAATCCTCACAAAGGAATTTTAAAAAGTAGAAATAATAAGCATATTCTTTACTGACCACAATTGAATAAAAAATATATTCAGTAGGACTTGCAGAAGCAAGGAGCAAAGGCCAGTTAAAGACTAAAAACCTTAATCCTAAAGATTTGGTGAGTCAAAGAACAAAAGATAATTTCGTCAAAAGAAATTACTAAAATGAGAAGACATACAGGCTACAGATGTAGCCAGAGGGAAAATATATATCTCTAAACATTTTCATTAACAAAAGAAAGACCAAATCAATCAACTAGACAAGAATTGAAGGTCATAGCACATGTCTTAAGAGAGCTAATTTTCTCTTGTGCTGGGGTAAGAACAAAGGTCCCAATTCTCAAAGGGCTCATGTTGTAAATCGGGGAGATAACATGCAAACAATAGCATACAAGATACATACAGTTGTAATTGGAAGAGGGGAGGCACTAGAGAAGCAGAGGATGGGAAAGGCCTTCAACAGGATGTGGGATTGGAGCTGAGTCTTGGTAGAAGTCAGGGAAGCCAGGAAGTGGAGACAAGGATGGAGAACATTCCAGATGTGGGGGACAGCCAGTGAAAAGGCAGAGCTGAGAGATGCAGCATCTTGTGGAAGGGAGGGCAGGGAGGCCCAGTGTCCCTGGACTGACTGGAAAGGTGGGAAGGGGCCAGGCTGTGAAGGGCTATCCCCAGGCGATGGCTAGGTGGTGCTACACCTATGCCCTGTCATCATCCTCCCTCGAAACATAAGTTCAGCCCTATAGCGGAGATGAAAGTGGGGTGTCAGTCTTGTCTCCTGTGCTGGTCTAGAAGAAAGGGTATCAAACCTCTTCATTGTACATACTCTGTGAAGGAAACTGGCTGCCCCCACGTGCCTATTTCTCCATTAAATTACTTCTCTGGCTACTTCTTAAACAATGCTTTCCATTCTGCACCCCTGCTTCTGTTCTACTATCTAGGTGAGTATTCCCCTTTATCGATGGCTATTCCCATGATAAACGTCTGTGGCAGTTTCATCATAGTCACTGGTGCAACCTTTTTAGCTTTGCATTTTATTCCTCTATGTTATAATCTTCCTATCAGAAAGGAAAGTTAGACAATTAAGGGGAAGGGGATAGGGGAACACAGTCAGTGAAAGAACAGCAGTGCACACCTAGTAATCACCTTATCTCCTCCTTGTTATTCAGGGAGTTTTCCCTGAATTCATGGAAATGCACTGGCCCCTCAGAAAACTGACCCAGCAATAAGCCTTGGCCACACCTTGGCTGGTCACCTTTTTAAGTACTCAGTTGGGCTATCACCATTGCCAGGAGGAAAATTCCCTTTTTATACACTTCAAAAGTACTCGGGAAACATGGGAAACACACCATGCCCACGGCCTCACAATGAGCAGCTCTTGGAATGCTCATTCATTGGAGGTGGAATTCAGCTCAGGAGGGCATCCAGGTGACTTAGTAGCTCCTGCTGGACATGAAAGAAGCTTTGTGGAGTTCATTCAAGTCACCTAGGCAATTTCTGCTTAAGTTTTCCAGAGGCTTGGGCCCCAACTCTTATAAATGGAAACCTGAGTTTCTGAAAGGACAACCTTCTCTGTAACCATAAGCAGAGGTGTCAAACAAGCAACTAACCCACAACTCCCCTGAGTAAGGCCTGAACCAGATTAAAATGTACTTGGGAAATATTTAACAAAATAAATAAAAATACAATAGAATACAGAAAATGTTAACATGTGGTCTTCCAAGTCAAAATGCAGAATGCCTGGACCCCTACGTAGATAAGGATCTCTGTGGCTTGGTGGCCCCCCTTTCTTTCTGACTTTGACCCAATGGCCATAACTGAAGATTTCGGCTGCCAGGACACTGGAAGGTGTCATTCTTTCAAAAATGAGCTCTGTGAGGAAGTGCACGGACTCTTCTGGTTTTGACCCTTTAACCTTAATTCCTAACACAGTGGCTATAACAACATTGGGTACTTCCTAAAATCTTGTTGAATTGAAGACCAAACCATCTGGGAAAAAAAGTCAACATTATTGAAAGCAGTCAGACTAACTAATGTCCCTCTCCTCTATATCTATCTCTTAGACGCTTTTTGAATTACACGGACTCCCTACCCAAATCCATACCTGTTTCAAAGCTAATGCTATGGCAAAACCATAGGCTCGCCTTGTTACAGCTTCTTTGAATAGCGCTTCATCCAGTAAAGTCATACAGATGTTGAAAGAATCGGCAGTGTTCTGCAAAGAGACAACAATTGGTGAGCCCTCCTCACGTCCTTTCAAGCTCATTGAGATGAGCCAACAGGGTTCAAGGTGGGTTCCTTTGGCCAGGCTTTCTCCACTAGACTTGGATCTCTCTGCTTGAAAGCTGTGAAGGTCCACATGTAGACTCTGGTCTAGGTGCAAAGAGGGTGGTGCATCTGCAAATTGGCAGATAAGGATTTTCCACATATAGAAAAAGGGGCTTTGACAAATAACTGACAATGCCAATACCACCACCAACACATATTTTAATTAAAAAACAATTAAATAAGTGATCTTATTTTTAAAAATTTAGTGAAAGTGTTTTCTGTTGATATTTTCTCTTTTAACTCCCTGTTACTCAAAAACAGTAGCTTTAAATTAACTTTTTTTTTTTAAAGCTTTGCATCAAGCTTTTCCTTGCAATTAGGCAGGCCTTTACCTGCCAGCATGTGACTGGGCTAATCTCCACAAATGACCATACATAGCAATAAGCGAGATGTTTGGTTGTATTACTACACAGAATTCCCCCAGAAGTAAAGCTGAGCATTCAGGAAGAACATCTAGCTGGGGAGATTTCCATTCTGAAAGTATGCATTGACTCACATCAAGTCTTTTCCAACTTGCACACTTGCACGCCAAACTGAGGTCACATCTTGAAAGGCTCTCATGAAAATTGATTTTTTTAAATGAAGAAAATGGGCCACAAACCAGCAAAAACAAAGAGATTTCAAGGGTACAATTGAATTCCTGCCCTCACCCCATCCTTTCACAGTCACTGGAAACAGAGTAGACTTATGAGGTCACTGTCTACTGTGAATTTTTGCTTTTGTCTGTCATAACTTGAATAACAACCAACATCGCCAAGGTACAGTCTGCTTAGAAAGGACAGAATTTGATAATTTAAGGAGGAGACTACTCTCAGAACAATAGCAAACATTTACTGGTCTAGAAGAAACTTGGTACAGTCAAAAGGACACTGCGTTTGAAATCAGAAGACTTGGGGGTTCAGGTCCCAGCTCTAATTTTCATTACCTATGTGGCCTGGGTAAGTCACTTACAGCTTTCTAAGTCTCCTCATCTATAAAATAAGGGTAACACACTATACATATATGCACATACACACACATACAAATACATACATACATAAACATATATAAGCGCTATGTAAATAAGAGTTACTAATACTATTGTGAGAATTAATGAAATGTGATCAAGCCAGTCCTCCAACTCTGGTCCTAAGCAACCTGGAAGAAAATTCTCCCTAGGTTGCTCAAATTCTTTCCACTCAGGGGCTTCACTATAGGAAGTTGACTGGATAATGAAATGGGCAGTGGACAAAGAGTCTGAGTTCTAGTCTTGACTCTGCCATGTACATGCTGTATGACTTTAAATTCTTTGTAGCTCATTTTCCTCATTTGTAAAACAGGACTGATAGTACCATACACCATGGATCATACGATCTACCCTGCAGGATTCTTACTAGGAAAGAACTTTGAAAACTGGAAATTGCAACATGAATGTGAGTTTTGACTGTCCTGTCTCGAATGCAATCAGTAGGTCAAAGAATTGGGTTTGTTATGTTCGATATCCATAGTGTTAAAAGTTTATTTCAGGGCCACTCTCTCCACCCTAAATATAACCATCTCCCCATACACACATACTGCCTGAAAACATAAACATGAAAGAAACCACTGGGGAGGATGAGTAGAAGAACCTGAGATCATCCAGCCTTAAGGCCACAGTTGCCCCCCCCCCCGGGCTAGATGATCTCGGGCTCTTCAGCTCATCCTCCCCAATGTTTTGTTTCTGTAAAATATGGATTCAGTCAAAAGCCCAAACTTAAGGATTTAGAAGGCCACATGTGGCCTTAAAACCGCGGGTTCCCCACCCCGTTTCTAGCCAATTGTCATTTAGTCATTTTCAGTCATGTCCAGCTCTGACCCCTTTTGGGGTTTTCTTGACAAACACACTGGAGTGGTTCCGCATTTCCCTCTCCAGTTCATTTTATAGATAAGGAAACTGAGGCAAACTGGGTTAAATGACTTGCCCAGGGTCACAGAGCTGATATCTGAAGCCACATTTAAACTAAGAACTTCCTCACTCCTAAGTCCAACATTCCTTCTCCACTGCACCCTTTAGCTTCCACTACCTCTCACTCACCTTTCCCAGGTACCATTACTCCAATGAACTTCAAATGGATGAAACTGGAATGTTAACTTAAAAAAATTCTTTCCTTCTTTCCTACCTATGCCTTACACCTGCTCATTGTTTCATGCTCATTTACCTACTTAGAAAAACCCTCCTGAGGTTGAAAATGACACCTGAAAATCACCACAAGCATTCTTGCATCCAAACTTGATTCTCAATTACTCAAGAAACCCAAACCTTTTCCAATGCCCAGTTATTAGGTATGAGGAGAAACTATTCTTTATTAGGGAATCCTGAGATGAGGATATTTCGTTTGTGGCTTTCCAAAGGGACAAAAGAGTCGGTGCCTGGGGAGGAGCACAACAAGGTGGAGGGAGAAGACATGGAAGAAAGAGAAAACCCTCCTTCCAGGTAACGACCTCTCTGAGCACTTGTGCTTCCCAGGGGTGTGCTCTGGAACTTTGTGGGTATTTTCAGACATCTTCATGGTCTATGATGCCAAAATGGATTCCACCTTGGATGTTGGTTTAACCTGACTGTTTGCCCATCCATCCACCCACCCTTCCCTTTATTGATCTATCCATCCATCCATCCGTGCATCCATACGTTAATAAATATTTATTGAGCACTTATTAAGGGCAAAGCACTCTGCTTGGTTGCTATGGGAAAATATTAAGAGTCATGGCAGGTCTCTATCCTCAGGGAACTTAGGATCTAGTAGGTATGTATGGCTTTACAACATAAAGCAGTATTCATCAAGTGTCAAGAGTGGTACAAAGTGCTCCAGGGGCACAGATATTAGCAAGATGGCCCTTGGCTGGGGAGAGGGGAAGGAAGGAAGGCTTCACGGAAGAGGCAGTTGAGCTGAGCCTTGAAAGTAGCAGAAATGGAGGAGAGTATTATGAAAGGAGAAAACAGGAGCCTGACAACAAAAGTAATAAGGCAGAGACTTAGGATCACAGGCTTTTAGTTTAGTCAACTGTGCCAGTTTGGCCCTGAAACCAGGACTTCCCGACTCCAAGGTCAATTCTCTATTCACCATTCCATGCTGTTTCTCATTACAGCTTAGTTTTTTTGAAATCAGTATACTTATAAATGAAAATTTTGCAGCAGATGGAAATCTTAGGCTTCAGATAAATTAGATTTTCTTCATTAAAAAGGAAAAAAAAACCCAACTGCAACAAAAAATTGTCCCTAAGACTTCTCAACCTACCATGCTTTGAAAATTAAAAGAGATTATCTTACCAGTTTGTAGCAAATTGCAAAAGCAAGGATGTAGGTGTCTGTATTGAACCTTACCCCTTGGTTTTTCATTTCTATTAAAACCTCCAAGGCACCTGCCAAAAGAAAAGCATTGACAGAACACAAGGAAAGGGTGACCCACTGGGAGGCTCTAGAGCCCTGACTTGTTTTGTGCCAATTACAGAAAACTGAATTTTCTGCACAATCAGAGCTGTCTGTCAAAGTTATTGGGTAATTAACGCATTTCAAAATAAATCATGCCAGACACAAGGTACTAATCTGTTATAACTCCATGCGTTTTTAGCACAAGTGAAATCTGATATGCCTCGTTAAAGCATACCAGACAAGCAATCATTCTTTTAGACTTCAAAAAAATGGCATTTCCAGAACTCAAACATTCAATGGGATCGTATGCATCCATTTCTTTTTTTTTTATTTTGCTATGCTTACAAAAAGGTCAGAGTCTGTTTTTAGAAATACAACTACATACTTACCTTCATAATTGCCTTTGATAAATAACATATTCATCAGGATATTGAACGATGTGCAGTCTGAAAAGAAACCATGCAAATGCTGCAGGAGAAAACAAGCAGAAAGAACGGTTAACATCAGCAACTACTAAAGTGGTTTTCACTTTTACATGGTCTTTATATGGTCTTATCTATTAGGATTTATTTCCTTCTACAGTCTGCACACTCAGCCTTCAGAATATGTAGATGTACTCCTGACACGCCAGGGGTTTACTGTTCAAAACCTGACACCTGGTCACTAAGAGGAGGACTGATTTGATGGCAGGCTCTTTCCCTGCTGGCACATGTGTCTCTTGGGATAAGGCCTCCAAACATATGAAGAAAGGGAAAGTCACTCTCAGGAACAGTCAACCTTCTCCCAATGGTGCTGGTCCCCACTGCGGCTAGGGGCTCAGATTCAAGTGAACACTGTCAGTATCAGCCCTAGAACTGGTGGGGGGAGTTCACAAGAAAAGGCATTTGCTGAGAAGAGACAAACTCTCCTCTTCTCTCTGACAGGCAGAGCTATGCTGATAGTACCAGTTCACAAAAGCCAATTGTTAAATTTTCAGCATGAGCATTTATACCTTAGAAAATTGGTAAACGCTACAAATCATGGCTCGAGTGATTGTTTTGCTGATCCTCTAGACTTTTTTTTGTTTTGTTTGGGCTTTTTAGGCAATTTGGGTTAAGTGACTTGCCCAGGGTCACACAGTTAGTAAGTGTCAAGGGTTTGGTCTGAGGATGGATTTGAACTCAGGTAGTCCTGACTTCAGGGTCCGTACTCTATCCACTGAGCCACCTAGATGCCCCACTCCTCTAGACTTTTGTGATGGAGAAAACATTAGTACTGCAGGTTAAACTTCAAAGTGGGTCATGTGTATAATCCTACCCTCCTCACAGAGAGAAGGTTGTTAAACATCAGCATATCCTTGCTGACAAGTACAGTTATTTAAGGAGTCTAGGTGTGAAGTGACTCAAAGGAGACAAAAGTTTTGATAGAAGTTCCCCTACTTTAGGCAAGCTTGATAAAGGAACATCAAAATTTTCAAAAAATGATTACATAAATATTGATGAGTCATTTCACACAAGGATTTATTATAGGAGTCCTTTAAACAGCCAGCTCCCCTTAGAATGTTTATAGTAAAATTTGATTTATGTGCTTTTCAAGTAAAGAGTCTATTGACTGCCCCAAAGGAGGGCTCGATACTTCCCAACTGCAGCCCTAAAAATAACCAACTTCTGGGACGTTTTCAGCGTGCTGATTCTGCTTTTGTCTCACCAGCACGCCTGTAAGCGTTAATTGTTTACCCTCAGTATGCTTTTGTCAAAGTACTGACAACTGCTTCTCTGGTCTGAGATCCCATCTCTTCGATAAGAGGTGGAGCAGTGAGCTTGGAATTTTGCCTCTGACAATTATTATTTGTATGACCATGGAGAAGACATGTAGCTTCTCTGTAAAATAGAGATTTTTTTTTTCAGAGGGAAGGGGAGAGGAAAGAGCCTAAATGTGTGATTTCATTGCTAGGTGGCTCAGTGGATAGGCTCTGCCTGGAGTCAGAAGACCTGAGTTCAAATCTGGCCTCAGACACTTACTAGCTGTGTGACCCTGGGGCAAGTCACTTCACCTCTGTTTGCCTCAGTTTTCTCATCTGTAAAGTAGGGATAATTGTGAGGTTCAAATGAGATAATAATAATAGGTAACTTTTATATAGTGCTTATTACACACTAAGCTGGGCCATCTAGGTGGTACAGTGGACAGAGTACTAGGCCTGGAGTTAGGAAAACTCATCTTTGTGAATTCAAATCCAGCCTCAGACATTTACAAGCAAGTCATTTAACGCTGTCTGCCTCAGTTTCTTCATCTATAAAATGAACTGGAAAAGGAAATGGCAAACTACTTCAGTATCTCGGCCAAGAAAACCCCAAACAGGGTCGTGAAGATCTGGACACAACTGAAATGGCTAAACAAAAACAACAAATATCCTAAGCACTGTGCTAAATGCTTTATTGCTATCTCACTGTGCTACATCCTTTACGATGATTATCTCACAGATGACAATTCATGGTGCTAAGCTTTTTACAATAATTATCTCCTAGAGGTAATAATTCACTTGGCTAAATACTTTAAAAATTGTTTTCTCCATGATAATATCTAACATTTATATAGTGCTTACTATGTGTCAGGCACTGTGCTAAGCGCTTTATAATAAGTATCTCCTAGAGATCATAATTCACTGTGCTAAGCACTTTACAAGTATTTTCTCTCTATGATAATAGCTAACAAATGGTTCTGACTATGGACCAGGCACTGTGCCAAGCAAGCGCTTTACAATGATCATTTCTGTGAGATAATAACTAGAAAGCACTTAGCACAGTGCCTGGCCCATAGTCAGCACTATATAGATGTTAGCTATCACTTGATATTATTGGTTCTAAACAAAGACATTCCCTCTTTTAATGCAGAGTTGTAACTGCTGTGTAACTTGCAGTCTCAGAGGGTGGCCCAGAACACTGACAGGTCAACTGCTCTGCCCGTGATCAGATATCCAGTGTGCGTCAGATGCAGTACCCGAACCCAAGTCTTCCAGAGTTCTAAATCAGCTCCCAATCCATCACGCCAGGCTGCCTTTCAAATATTCAAACATTCAATGGGCTCACAGCCATTATTTTTTTTTTAATCTATGTCAGCAGTGGTAATAACACCTGCAATATCTACCTCACAAGGTCATTGTGAGGAAAGTACTATATAAACTTTAAATAGACAGCTATATGTTATTATTATATTGTTGATTATATTATGTATTATAATATATATTATATATATTATATTGTCAATAAACACCTAAATGCACAAAGATGCATTCCCAGTGTTAAAAGCACAGAATCCTCTTTCCTATAAAATCACTTTCTCATTCATCTCTTGCATAAGGTACATGTTTATATGTGGGTCCTCTGAAAGCAGAGTACACCTTGAACTCTTCAATAATGTGCAAACCTTATTATGGAAGAAAACTTAGTATGACTGAGGAAGCTCCCAATAAACCTTCGATCTACCAGCCAGTTTGTTCCTGAAAATTCCCTAGACTAAGGGAAGACCTGACCTATGAGTCTCAGCTAACTGTGACTTCAGCAGGTCAATTAAGCTCTGTGTACCTCAGTTTCCACATCTGCATGATGGGGAGATCTTATGAGTATCAGATGAAATAACAATATGTTTAAATGTTCTGAAAACTGTAACAAGTGATTCAGCGGAAAGAATGCTGGATCTAGAGTCCAAGTATATGGGTTCAAATCTTGGCTCTGCTTTAGTGCAAATCCCTTAATCTCTCTGTGTCTCAGTTTCCTCATCTACAAAATGGGGGGTTGGATTTAATGACTGACCCTATCCAAATCAAAATCCAAGATCTTGTAAATCAGTGGTGTCAAACTCAAAAAGAAACAGAGGGCCAGTAAATCATACCTAATGATCCCCATGGACTGAATACTGACTTTGGAAACCACATATTAACATTAAATATATTCTACTGTACTCCTATTTATTTTGTTAAATATCACCCAATTTCATTTGGAAGAATCATAGGCAGCAATGCACATGTGTGATACTTCTGTTATCAATAACCAGGAGAAAAGACACATAAGTGGGAAGGAAGCAATGGCCCAGAAATGGAGGGCACCACCCTGGGAATGCTTTGCTCCTCTGAATATGGCTGTGAGCTCTGACTGGAGAGAAAAGACATCTGTCTGTCTTTGTATGACAATCATGCCAGGTGACTATGTGGTAATCACCCACACTGCTGCTACAACTAATATGTTGACATATTTTAATGGGGACTAGCACCCAAAGAAGAGGAGAAAAGCAAACTGTGTTGGGTAATACCAATGGCCCATACAATTCAGTGCTAGACTTGCAGCGGCACAAAGGAAAACTACATGAGAAAAGGAGGTGACTTTTCTCCATGGCATTGTCAAAAAGGAAACATGTCACCCTTCAGGAAATAGTCAATACCACCCTTATGGAAAGTGGCCAATGTCACCCTTATGGAAAATGGCCAAGGTCCCCCTCATGTAAATGGTCAAAGCAGACAAATTATAAATGACAGACCTGGTCTTTGATGAGTTCCATTGCAGACTGTTCTAGGTCCAGCTCATAGCAAAGCCTTATAAAAAGGGGTCCAAACTTAAATTCCCCAAAGCAGACATTTCTGTTTTCAGCATGGTACCTAATAATGAAAAAGATGAAATTATCAAACAGTAAGAGAGAAGGGAAGAGGACAAATACCTACTATGGATTTCTAGGGAATCAGGGAGATTCAGAGGTGCAAGGACTGCGTGCACATGGCTTATTCTAGGGCTAATGGTTAATGAAAGGACATACTTAGAGCTGCCCTCCCCTGCCTGCTGACACCTACTATTTGCTTTTTTTTCCTTCTGTTTTGTTTTGTTTCTTCTTTCTCATAGTTATTCCTATTGGTTCTAATTTTTCTTTACATGACTAATGTGAAAATGTTTAATAGGAATGTATATGTATAGCCTATTTCAGATTGCGTGATGTCTTGAGGAGGAGGCAGGGAATGATGAGGATGGGATCTAGACCCCAAAAAGGAAAAACTCCGGACTTTTCCACATGGCCAAACTGGCATTCGCCTGACGCTATAATCCCACCAGCAAGCCTTTCATTGTGGCTACACCCAGTCTCCCAATTCTGTTACCCTTAACCTAGCATAGCCCTCCACTGTCTTACCTCCCTATGGCCCCAGGCCACTTCCCACCCTTAACCCTATCTAGGTTCCATTCTCCCTTGGCCACAAGGTCTAGGTCCCTGGAGTTCTATTACCTCATAGACTACTAGGCCACTCCTAGATCCCTCCCATAGTCTTTCTGTATATAAGGTCCATGTTGACTCCACTAAAATGCTCAGATTCTTATAATCTAGCTATGGGCTCAGATTCTTAAAATCTACTCAATAGCTCACTAACATTCTGACTCCTTAAGGAGTCTGCCCAATATGATGGATGTTCTAGTAAACCTTGTCTCTGGCTGAAAGAAGGGTTGAGTTGAATTCTTTCAGACAGGACCCACGTGTTGTGATGTTGGGGTCCCAGGACCCCTAAGCCCCTAAACCTCAATAGGGAGGGAAGGGGGGAAAATGTAAAACTCAAAAGCTTATGGAAGTGATTGTAACTGAAAACTAAAAATAATTAAAAGAAAAAAAAAGAAATGAGACAGAGAATGGCCCCTTGCACCTAATCCAAAATATTTTTAAAAATCGATTTGGGAGGGGAAGAACTTCAGGGTTTCTGGCCAAAACAGAAACAATTACTATTTACATTCACTCTGAGATCCAAACAAAGACCACTAAGCGGTGCTTGGGCATCACTTGTTAGTTGGTGGTGCTTGTTAGCCAATCAATGAGAAGCCAGAGTGAACTGGATTTAAGGCATGGTCTTCACAGAAATCTAGCCCTTAAACCCCAAGATAACTGGCTAGATTTCAGCCATCGAAATGTACATTCCTTTGGGCCCAGCAACGGCAGGTAAGGGTATGATAATGGACTGAGGGGGAGGAAGGAGGGGAAAGAAGGGGAACGGAGGGAGGAAGGAAGGAGGACCTGCATTTCCCAACAGGAACTAGTCAGCTGGGTCCCCAGAAGAGCAGCTCAGACTGCTTGTAGGTTGTTGTTTGTACTTCATACTCAGAGGACCCATGACATCAGGAAGGTGACACCATGACTTGCAAGCGAATTGGATTTAAGGGAGGGAGGGCTGCGCAACATTACCAGTCTCACTTTCTCCTCCAGAGCCATCTGGGTCCGGGCACATATAGATCAGGACAACTGCAGGTGGCTCCCAGGTGCTTAATAGAAGTTTACTGACTAACGGAAATCACTGAAGGAAGTTGGGAGTTACATTATGATTCGCCAGTTATATTTGGTTACATGAATTTTATGATCGACAATAATGGTGATCTGTACTTTTCAGATGTCCCTGATCTAATCAGGCAGCCTGGTGGAGCAGCAGTTCCAATCCCAAATCAGATACGTGACCTGGACAAGTCATTTAATGTTTCTGGGCCTCGGTAATGAGGATAAAAATAATGCCTACTTACAGTGACTGTTGTATTATGAGGATCAAATGAGATAATATATTGATGACACTCTAGAAACCTTAAATCATTACACCAATGTAAATTATTTTCGCAAATTAAAGAAAATTACAGAATTGGCTAAAAATGGGTATTGTGTACAAAATATTAGTGTGTGGAGAGGAACAATAAACATGAGGAATTCATAGAAACATGGGAAGATCTGTATGAACTAATGCAGAGCAAAATAAGCAGAACCAGGAAAAGCATCTACACAATGACCATGACAATATAAATGAGCTGAGGCAGCTAGGTGGCACAGTGGATACAGCACTGGCCCTGGATCCAGGAGGACCTGAGTTCAAATCCAGCCTCAGACATATAACACACTTACTAGCTGTGTGACCCTGGGCAAGTCACTTAACTCCATTGCCTAGCCAAAACAAACAAACAAACAAAAACAAAACCCAAAAAAACAATATAAATGAGCTCACTCACAGGAGGTCAATCTCTGAGAAACTAGAAAACAAATAAAGGTTCTCAAGAACAGATAATGAAACACACCTCCTTCAGAGGTACAGAGGTACAGAGGTACTTCTACTGGTACAGGATATTGAATACAATGTCAGAAATGGTCAGTACACCAGATGTTTTTGGTTAATTGATATTTTTCTGTCACAAGGGAGGGCTTCAGTGGTTGAAATAACCATGACGTAAAAGACAAAAGGCATCAATAAAAACTGTTTTGGGTTTTTTTGCTTTTTGGTGAGATAATCGGGGTTAAGTGACTTGCCCAGAGTCAGACAGCTAGTTTTAAGTGTCTGAGGCTTGATTTGAACTCAGGTCTTCCAGACTTCAAGGCCAGAGCTTGACCCACTGTGCCACCTAGTTGCCCCTAAGCTGTTTTTTTTCAAAGAAAATTATAACTAATATGAAATACTTTGCCTATATTATATATAAAGAATAAATCATATGCTGAATTATATAATATATATTTTATATATTATAATCATAATATAATTATATATCATAGATTATATAATAATATACAATGTATAACATAGCATTATATATTTATATAAAATATAATTAATAAATTATATGCTTGAATTGATTCTTAAAGGGAAATTAATGGGGGGACAATATCTAAAGAGCCAAAAGAGGGGGTGATGGTGATAGGTGAGGAGAAGGAAATGGGTCTAGCAAATGCTGCAGCTAGGTAGGAAATGATGAGATGGCTGTCTTAAGCCCCTCCTAAAGTGAAGGATCCAGCAGGAGCTCTCTAATGTCCACCCTCCATCCTCTCCATCAGAAGGCAGGATGGACCCCAGGGACATGAGAGATTTGAGTTTCAGAGCTGCTATGATCTCACAGAAAGATGAGTTGATGGTGGTGAGACATAGTGATTATTTCAACCATGCACCTAGTTAGCTTTCTCAATATGCACATGGCACAGAAATGAGAGATCAAGCAGAGAAAAAGGATCACCTTTAACAGGCAGAAATAAAGCTAACATGACATAGGTCAGCTCATTTTCAGGAAAGTAAGACTAAAGCAGGAGAACTGTGCATCAACGGGTATCCACAGGCACTTAGAAACCCAAGGGACAATTAGGGTATCAAGGAGGCTAAGTCACAGAAGAGAGGACAAGCAGCAGAAGGGAAGGTGAGCAAAATGATATACAAAAAATTCAATTTTGTAAAATCTCAACAGTATAATAAATACTCCCAATTTCCTACTGGTAGAAAAGATAACGTGGACCGTGTGAAGTGGTGACTGCTGTGATGATCTTACCCACCCCCCAACTCCTCTTCCTAACCCCACACACCTCCCTGCTCTCTGTCAGTGACAGGGTGAGAAGGGTCACTCCTAAAAGGGTCCTGGGACACTTCTCCATCCATAGGTAAAAAGCAGGTACAGGGGCTCAACAAGGAAGTACCTCACCTGTAAATAGCACTTCTTGTTAGCTCCATGTCATCTTGGGTCTCACATAAATGGAGCAGGGTTTTCAGTTCCTCCTTTAAGATGAGAACCTTTTTCTTCATCTTTTCTTCCATGTCTTTAAAATAGGTTTCTGAAAGAAATCCAAGTGTTTTACCCTACAGGAAAATAGGGGCAAGGGGAAAAGAAAGTGGGGAAATGATAGATGGGAGGGTAGATTAGGTGAGGGGGTAATCAGAAGCAAACACTTCTGAGGAGGGACAGGGTCAAAAGAGAGAACAGAATAAATGGGGGATAGGATAGGATGAATGGAAATATGGTTAGTTATTCACAACATGACTACCATGGAAGTGTTTTGCATGACTACACATCTATAACCTGTATTGAGTTGCTTGCCTTCTCAATGAGAGTGGGTGGGGAGGAAGGAAGGGAGAGAATTTGGAACCCAAAGCTTTAAAAACAAATGTTAAAAATTGTTTTTACGTACAACTGGGAAATAAGATATACAGGCAATGGGGTATAGAAATCTATCCTGCCTTATCCCCTTATAGAAGGGGAAGGGGATAAGAGAAGGGGGGGGTGATAGAAGGGAGGGCAGATTGGGAAAAGGGTATTCAGAATGCACGGTCTTGGGATGGGAGGAGGGGCGATATGGGAGAAAATTTGGAACTCAAAATCTTGTGGAAGTGAATATTGAAAACTAAAAATAAATAAATTAATAAAAATATAGCCAAAAAAAAAAGAAGGAGGAGAAATCCAAGTGTGGCAGTTATCACCTAGGCTACACTATGAAGGAGAGAAGAGAAACTAATGTCAGCTAATGATAATAGAGCAACCAAAAGGAATTCAGGATGCATGAGTCCTACGGAGGACCATTCTCCACATGAGTCAATCAACAAGCATTAAGTGTCTGCCACATGTCAGGCACTGAGCTAAGTGCTGGGGATACAAAGAAAGGCAAAAACAGAGCCTGCCCTCGAGGAACTCACCTTTTCACAGGGGAGATGCAAGGTAGCCTCAGAGGGAAAGCTGAGAGGACTGGGAAAATCTCCTGCAGAGAGTGGGATTTGGATTGATTTTTGAAAAGAAACTTTAAAGGGAGGAGGAGGTAAGAAAGGAGAACATTCCATGAATGAGGGACAGCCAGTGAGGCTTACCTCAACCAGACTGGTCTTACAAGGTCTGTAGAAAGAAGCGAAGTTGGGAAAAAGGAAACAAAATGGAGGCAGATGGATTATTCTAGACCCTCAGTAGGAACACAGAAAGGAAACGAAGAACTAAAGGTGTAGGAAATGTGGTTTTTATCTGTTTCTTTTTGGCAACGATGTTTGACCTTGCGCCATTTGGGAATTCTTTGCATTGCTTTCATGCAACTCAACCGTACCCCAGTACCTCCTTCTTACCTCTCTTTCTACGTTACTTTCGGGCTTTGGCAGAAACTGCCATGGGGTAGAAACCCATTCTTAAGTGTAAGCAACAAAAGCAGACAGTTTCTTTTCAGTGGCAGGATCAATGAAACTAGCAGACCCAGACTCTTTAGCATTTCTTGTACAGGCTGTATTCCCATGTAAGTAACTGTGAGGGCAGTGAGGGCAGCCCCAAAGTAACTACTATTTTTTGAAGTTAGAAAGGCTAGATTCTAGCTAAGAGCTGCTCAGAGATAGGCTGGGAATCAAACAGAAAGCAGGTATCTGCTTTCCAGAAGGCAGTGTAGCTTTCTTAGTATTTTAAGTTGATTAAAAAAAAATGTACAAGATTTAATGACAACTGTAATGATCAAGTATTTTGGAAGAATGCAACTTGGGCATTCCACAAAAAATAAAAGCAGAAATACTGTGAAAACAAGACTTTAAATCAGAGGAAAGGAATTTTTTTCTGTTTTAAAATAAAATCAAGGAAGGCTGAAGGAGTGGATCTGTAATAATGCTGCCTATGTCCTACCTCAGGATTGTCATGTTTTGGAGGCCCAGGGGCTGCCCTCATATGCACAGGATATTAAAAGAACTGGAGGATGGCCTTCAGGGCACTGGGTGGATTCTCTATGAAGTCTGGCAGAAACACTTGGACAAGATTCTTAAGAGTGTGACGTAGTATAGACAGGAGGTGGGGCTGGAGGGAGTATTCAGAGTAATGATGTGGCAGACCTATTTAAGGATCTCTGTCTGCTCAAGGCTCTGGGCTTCAGTGTTCTCATCTGTAAAATGAGGAGGTTGGTTTTGGACACACTTGCCTCTAGCCTGCTTTGCTCTGCTCTGGCCATTCCCAGGTTAGAGACCAGTCCAGTCTGGACTGCATTCAAAATTCAGTTGACAGGGATATAACAAAGAAATGGAGGCAGGAATGGACAGGACATATGGAGAGGACAGTAAGACCAGTCGGGGAATAATATTGGGGAATAATGAAAAATGAAAAACTCTGAGGCAGGATCCAATTATAAGGCTTTGGAAGCACAGTGCCTGGTATGCAGTAAGTACTATATAAATGCTAGCTACCATCATCATCATCATCATCATCATCATCACATGGTGAGGATCAGTCAACAAAAACCAGCTTAACCAAACCATCACCATTACCTTTTTTGCCATGAAATCGAGAAGAAACCGCTACCTTCACTTGCTGGAATTCTTGCAGTTTCACAACATCATCTGTAAGCAGATAGCGTTTCCCTAAAAGTTTGAGAGGAAAATAAAAACAGCAAAAGGAATTTATTGGCTACATTATTAATAAGCAATTATATAGCACATTACAGTTTCCAAAGCTCTTTCTCCATCATCCCCTCTGACCTTTATAGTCAGGGCAAATATAAATTATTCTCATTTTACTGACGATGTAGCTGAGGTCCAGAGAGGTTAAGTTACTCAAAGTCACAAAGCTTATTCAATAATCAAATTGGCTTGAAGCTTGGTTTTCTGGCTCCTATAGCATTTTCCCACTTCCACTCTCTATGGTGGGTGCCTAAGAGCTACTTCCTCCTCTAGCTGGGCCACCATCTCCAGATGAGAACAAATCCCAAGCAAACACTGATGAAAGAAAAAAGACACAAAACCCTCCATGTGCATTTCTTTAGTGACAATCCTCAATAATTTTGGGAGATGGTTATTTGCTGGGAAGAGGCAATCTGTGGCAAGAGAAAAATAAGGTGAGTCTGACAATAATGCTGTATAATAATGATCTGAGAGAAGGTATCAATCAAGGCAACATTCTGAACTTTCTTTTTCTTTTTTTGGTCTGTGTTTTCTTTTTCAGTCAAGTACAGTTACTTCCAAGTTATTCACATTGTAAAAGAAAACAGTCCAAAAGAATAAACAGGGAAAATAAAGAAAGTTTAAAAAGTACACTTCTATCTGCACTCAGACTCCATCAGTTCTTTCCCTAAATGGGGATAGCAATTTCCATCATAAGCCCTTCAGAATTCTTTTGCATCGTTGCATGCTGAGAACAACTAAGTCATTCACAGTTGACCATCACACAATATTGCTGTTACTGTGCACGATGGTCTGCTCACTTCACTTTGCATCAGTCATATGTCTTCCCAGGTTTTTCTGAAATACTGGTATTGTTACTAATATAACAGCCTTCTAGCTGACCTCCCTACTTCAAGTGTCTCCTCATTCTAATCCATCCTCTACTCAGTTATCAAAGTGATCTTCCTAAAGCACAAGCCTGACCAGATCACACCACGTGGTACAGTGCTTGACACTTAATAAATGCTTCTAGATCTCTTCCCCTTCTTCCTTTCCACTTCTCTTTCACCTCTCTCTTCCTGCTCGCCCTTCCTCTTCTTGTTTTCTTCCTTTTGGTGCAGCAGAAAGGGTTAACTAGTTGTCATAGACTAGAGTTCAAATCTGGTTTTGCCACTTAACCAAACATATGACATTTGACAAGTCACCTGACTTTTCAAGTACTATTTTCTCAAAAAAAGGGATTGGATTAGATGGCCTCTAGGGTCCCTTTCAGCTCTAGAGAAAACCAGAGATGATGATTTTTGTCATTACCTCATTTTGGCAGTAAACTTGTAAACAAACCAACTTGTCTCCAACTTAGCTTCCCATGCCCAGTGGCACAGATAAACTGGTCCTCTTGCTGTCCCTCATACACAACATCTTGGCACAGCACAGGCTACCTCATGCCTGCAATGCATTTCCTCCTTACCCCCACCTCCTAGAATCCTAGATTCCTTCAAAATGCAGCTCCTATCACCTTCTACAGGAGGGCTTTCTCGATCACCCCCACTGCTACAGCACATTCCCTCCAAATTACTGTGCTTTCATTTTGTATATATCTGATCAGCTTCTCCAAACCCAGCTAGGCTGGTCCTCAGACAAGTCGGGAACCAGGCCTATACTCCAAGCCTTCCAGGGCAGATGTGCTGGAGCATAAGCTACAACAGCAGAGCCTTTGGGAGCCCAGGTTCATTCTACAGTGTAATGAGGCAGAAGAAATGGGGTCTTGCAAAGGCAGGCTGGCAGACTTTGATGATATTTATCAGTTCTATAGTGGGGGTTCCTCGGATGGACGGTGGAGGAGGGAAGGTGATTAGATCTTTTCTACAGAACTCTTAGATCTGTCTAGGGACAAAATGTTATATGTAAGAAGGAAGGACTAGAAGGATCTTAGTAAAGGAGAAGAGTACAGTCCAGACAAACCCTAGACCTGGAGTTGGAAGATCTGGATTTGAGTTCACCTCAAGTCAATTATTGGTGCAGTGGATTGAGAGTCAGTCAGGAGGACCCAATCTCAGATTCAGCCTCAGACACTTACTAGCTGGGTCACCCTGGGCAAGTCAGTTAACCCAGTCTGCCTCAGTTTCCTCATCTGTAAAATGGGGGAAATACTTATGCTGTCTACTTCTAGAATTCATTATACAAATATCAACAGTTAGGAAGCCAGGTGTATCAGAAAGAGAAATGGATCGAGAGTCAGAACAGCTCATTTCAAAATCCAAGTTAGCTATTTATCACATGTGTGACCTTGGAGAAGTCACTGTCTCTCTAGGCCTCCATTTCTCAGCTGGAAAATGATGAGCAGATAAGACCCACATGTTCTCTCCTTTCCAGCCATAAATCCTTAGACGGCCACCTAAGGCCACTGGTGGCACTTTAGAGGTACTCTGGGGTCAGAGGACCTGGGTTCAAGTCCCAGCTCTGACACTTACTGACATCATCTTGTATAAGATGCTGGGCATCTTACATCTCAGCCTCAGTTTCTCATTTGCAGATAAGGGAGTTTGGACTAGATGATCTCCAAGGTCCCTTCCAGCTCTAAATCCATAAGCATCACATAAGCTCTTGAAAATCACTCCCCAAATCCTCTAGAGGCAGCTGGGTGAATCTATCCAAGTTTTGTGACACTGGGCAAGTGGCAACCTCAGTTTCCTCAACTTAAAATAGGGATAACAAACAGCACTCTCAGGGTTGTTGTGAGGATCAAATGAAATATTTGTCAAGTGCTAAGCGTGTGTATGTACATATGTGCGCATATATACACATATGTATACATATATGTATATGTCTGTCTATATCCTCCATTCCCTCCACCTGGAAAAAAATTTCCCATAGCCTCGGGAGTATGTATATTGCAAAAAGTTCCCCCTAGAAAAGGTCCAAAGGGTCACTACAGGTTGTTTATCTAACTCACGGATTTACATCTTTATCAATCAAATAACATTTATCAAGCACCTATTAAGCGCATAGCACAGTGCCAAGCAAGTGACGGGATACAAAAAGGCCCAAAGACATTTCCTGCCCTCAAGGAGCTTACAACTTCATGGGGGAAACAACGTGCAAAGAAATATATACAAAGCAAACTATCTTTATTTTCGTGCCTCTAATTACTTAAAAATTCATTCGTGATTGGGTCCATAGACTTCACCATACTGAAAAAGAGGGCCTCTTATCTAATTAGCTGTGTTCTAAGCATTGCCTAGACCCGTCGGGGGAGCAAGGGCACAACTCCCCAGGGCCTACGATTCAGCGTGTGGTCTACAACCAAGCCGAGCAAGCGCCTGGCAAGCTTTCCGGGGCCGTCCGGGAAGGATTCTGCTAGCTCACGGAGGGATTGATTGGCGTCCGCACCTCGCGGGGAGGTGTGGGGGGGTGAGGGTGGGGGTTACTTTATAAGCAATGACGGCCTGAGCTCCCTTCCACCCCAGTCCCAACCCTCCCGCGTCCACGGGGACGGGAGCCGGCCCGGGGCCGCAGTTACCTCCGACGGCCCAGCGGCAGCAGCCGGGAGCGAACCCGAGCAGCACGCGGCGGGTCGCACTACGTCGTACTGTTTGCAACAGCATTCTATTCCAACGTCGAGACACAGCCGCCATTCTGCGTCCCCCTCCGACCGTACCAACTGCAGGAGCTGAAGAGGGGCTGCCGCAGAGCAGCTAGCTTAAAAAGTACCTGCCCCCGAGTCACACCCACCTCCTTCTATCTCTAAAGGGCCAGAGAACGTAGAGAAAAAAAAAGAAAAACCCTAGCATAGGTCTCCTCCTCTCGGCTACCCCGCCCCTTCCTTTTCTCCACGGCCCCCTCCTGCGCTGGCGTCACAGTTGGTACATTCCATGATGGCGGCGCCCAGAGTGCGGCACGGGTTGCTCCTGGCCCGGAACGTGGCTCTGTCTCAATTCTCCCTGGCAGGTTGGTGGTGGCTGTTTCCACGGCGGGGGTGCTGCTGCATTTAGGCTTCCTCGAGGGCCAGCTGTGGAGTTGGCATAAGCAGAGGTTAACCCAGGAGAGCAGGAGAACGCGGGGTTTGGGGGCCAGAAGAGGTGTTTGGAAAGTGTGTGTGTATGTCATGGGAGGAATGTCTCTGAGCCCCCTCCTCTCCACCTCTCCCCCCAGACAGTGAAATTAACATGGTTCGGTGCTCCAGGAGGAATCCGCAGTCAGAGGTTTCAGCTGCTCTGGGAGCTGCGTCTGAACTGTTGTGTTTGATGTGTTTCTTCGGAGATTCTTACATTAAAACACCAATATCAGTTCGGCGTGGATAATTGTCATGGCTCCCTGCCTAGGTAGCCGTTTACCTGGATTGCTTTGGACAGCCCCTTTTCTCCCCTCTTTGATTTTTTTTTTTTTTTAAAACACGGAGTTCCCGCCTCTAGGAAAAGCGTGCAGGGGGCGGAGTATTAATCACATACCTGGCGGTGACTGACCTTGGCCAAGCCACTTGACCTTCCCTTGTCCCAGTATTCCTGCCTGTACAAGACGCATGACAATTACATTAGTGACATCATTTGGAGAGGTGTAATGGACAGGTGACCTCTAGAATTAACCATTCGTTTACCTGCCCACATGTTTTGTTTTGTAAGTGATTAGCTTAAATTTGAAATAAATTCATTCCTCATATGTGATTCTCATCAGAATGTGTGACTAGAGGCTTATGATGGAAATCACCCATTTCATTTTCTTTCAATGTCATCCAATGTCATTTGAACCTGTCCCTATCCTTTCAATTCTGGGAAGAGCTATTTGGTCATAGTTTAGAATTCTAGAGTAAACTGAAGTTCATTGTGGATCCTACATATACAATCATAGTTTTATGAGAAGGGGGCTGATAAACCCTCTTAATTCCAGTGCTCCCCTCTTTTAATTATTTCCTATTTATCCTTAATTATGGAGAGTTTTCAACTGACAGAATTCAAACTAAGAAAACCAAAAACGATACTTGAAATTGATCTCAAGTCTGCTCATCCAACTGCTTTATCCTCTAACTTGACAACCTACCCTAAACGCCAGGTAACTATTTGGTGGTTTTTGCTGCAGTATCTTAGGGCCTTGTTTACACCCACAAAATATTTGCTAAAAATCATCACTAAACACTCTATGAAGTTATTCATTCATTTGAACATTAAGTGCATATTATGCCTGCCTATTGTTTGTATGTTATCTTCCTCCATTACAAAGTTCCTTGGGGGCAGGGACTGGTTTTTTTGCCTCCTTTTGTTTCTCCAGCATTTAGCACGGTACCTGGGACATAGAAGGCACTTAATGGTTATTGAATGAATGAATGAATGAATAGCTTCAACTGGAATAGTAATTTCATAAAATGTTTAGTGATGATTGTTAGCAAATATTTTGTGGGTGTAAACAAGGCCCTAAGATGCTGCAGCAAATACCACCAGGTAGTTAGTTACCTGGGGTTTAGGGTAGGATGTCAAGTGAGAGAGTAAACTAGTTGGATGTGTAGACTTGAGAAGAATTTTCGGTATCATTTTTGTTTTTATTAGTTTGAATTCTAGCCCTCCACAGAGAAAACTCTGAAGCTGAGAGCTGAGAAAGGGTAGGACAGAGAGAAACTGCAGCATGTCATATCAAGTCCACAGTGCTTCTGTGTGCTGGTTACAGTGCTAAGTGCTGGGATATTTTAAAAGGGAATACAGGAAGGGAACGAGCACCTTATGTGCCGGGCATTGTGCTAAGCACTTTACAAATATTGGTTCATTTGATCTTCATAGCAACCTTGGGAAGTAGGTGCTGTTATTATTCCCATTTTACAGTTGAGGAAACTAAAGCAGACAGAGGTGAAGTGTCTTGTCTAGGATTACACAGCTAGTAAGTGTTTGAGGCTGGACTTGAACTCAGGTCTTCCTTACTTTAGGCTCAGTGCTCTATCTGCTGCACCACCTAGCTGCCTCTAAAGGAGGATTTTGGGGATGGGTTTCAAGAGCTTGTATGATGCTCATCAGTTTAGAGTTGGAAGACACCTTAGGGGTCATCTGATCCAAGCCCCCTTGTCTGCAGATGAGGAAACTGACAGTCAATCAATAAGCGTTTTTTTAAGCTCTTATAGACCAAGCTCTGTGATAGGTGCAGGGGAATACAGAAACAGTTCCTGCCTTCAGAGAACCTTACTTCTTTGGGGAGATAATATGTACGTATAAAAATGTAACATACATAAATACAAATAAGAATGTGTCTCAGTTTTTCACAGCACGTCTACTATGGAAGTGTTTTGCATAACTGCACATGTATAACATATATTGAGTTGCTTGCCTTTTCAATAAGGGTGGGTGGGGAGGGAGGAAGGGAAAAAATTTGAAACCTAAAGTTTTAAAAACATATGTTTAAAAAAAATGTTTTCACATGCTACTGGGAAATAAGAAATACAGGAAATGGCGTACAGAAGTCTATCCTACCCTACAGGAAAATAGAAGGGGAAGGGGATAAGAGAAGGGGGGGGAGAGATAGAAGAGAGGACAGACTAGGGGAAGGGATATTCAGAATGCATGCCATCTTGGGGTGGGGAGAAGACTGAGATGGGGTGAAAATTTGGAACTCAAAATCTTGTGGAAGTAAATATTGAAAACTAAAAATAAATTTATTTTAAAAAAAGAACATATCTGAGGTTTCTATGAGAAAGAGTGTAAAAAGAAAAAAAAAGACCCTTGGGCCTCACCCAGTGTGAGGGGAGGGTGGGATCCCACAAAGGAGGTCAAGAAGGTGAAGTCAGGTAGAAGGAGAAGGGGGCAGGGCGGGAGGTGTCACAACAACTTAGAGGTTAGTGTGTTTTGGAGGATAGAGTGGCCAAATGTCATACGCTGCAGAGAGGTTGTAAAGGATAAATGTTGAGAACGTGCCAACAGAAGAAATGAGGTTAGTGTGTGGGACCTGTTCTTGATTAAGCCATGCAGGCCTTTTATGATGATTTCCATGTATTCGCTTCCCTTTTCTATTTGTTTATTAACCTTCCTTTTATTAATGCACTCTGGAATTCTTCCAGGAATCAGTCATGCCTGTAGTTTGCAAGGTTAAAGCTTGGAATGCACAGAATCACTGTTACTATAAATGATGGTGAGAAATCGTTAAGAGATAATAATATGGTTTTATACTGTAGATATTTTATTGGTTTAACAGACTTTTGTGAGCTGGAAATTAATACCATTTATAGGAAATTAAATATAATTTATTAGAAATGTCTAGCATAAACTCAAATTATAGACACTTTGTAAAGATTTGTTCTTTTCTGAATTGTCTCCACTTTTCTACATATATATTTCCCCCCAATGTATTTTTATTTCATTAAATATTTCTCAATTACATGTAAAATTTTTAACATTAAAAAAAATTTTTGAGTTCCAAATTCTCTCCCTCCTTGAGAAGGCAAGCAGTTTGAATAGATTATACATGTGAAGTCATAGAAAATATATTTCCATATCAGCTGTGTTGCAAAAGAACACAGGGAAAATAAAATTAAAAATGCTTCAATCTGCATTCAGAGTCCATCAGTTCTTTCTCTGAAGGTGGATAGCAGTTTTCATCATAAGTTTTCCTACATATTGTTAAAGATCTACAGCTTAGGAATAGACATGTCATTCAAGTAAGGGTTTAATCAAAGCCAACTGTAATGGGAGGGTTATTTTATTGTGTTGTGCTTTTGAGGGGAACGAGGCAGAGAGAAGCATCTCAGTATTGTGCTTTAATATCTCAAGAATTCCTGCAAATTTCCCATTTGCTTTTTCCTATTTCTTTAACTGCTTTGTATGTCCCCAGTTTAATCCATCTTCAGCCCAGCTGCAGGAATCCCCTTTGTAAGGCATAGACCAACTTGACCAACACTCTCTTGCTTTTTGAATTTGCTTTTACCCCTAAAATAAAACGTGTACTCCTCAGCCTGGCATTTAAAGCCCTCTACACCCTGGTTCTATAGGCTTTCGAGGAATATTTCCTATAATTCCCCTTTACGCCCTCAAAGTTCTAGCCAGCCAGCCCGCTAGTTTGCCCAAATGTGGCATTCTCCCCACACCAGGCTGCTCTCTTCCCCAAGTAACCTCCCTCAGTCTTCCCTTCCCCTCTTAGAATCCTCAGCCATCTTCAAGGTAGCTTTCCCCTGGAAGCCTTTCTCCACCCCCTTCAGCTAGGAGTCCCCTCTGCCTCCACAAATTACCTTGTATTTACTTATCTTTGTACAAGTGGGAACCATCCATAGAATGGGAGCTCTGGTAGGCAGGGGCTGTCTTGTGTTTGTCTTTATATCCCAGTGCCTCACACAAATACCAGCTTGATAGATGGTTGTTGAATTGAGCTGAACCTGTTAAGTAGGGATAAATTTACTGACCTGTGTTACGGGATACTTTTAGGAAAAGCTGAATAATGATGAGAGCTCTTTTTTCTAATGTGTGATAGGGAATATCAGCTTCAGGTCTTGTCTATGTTGTTACCCAATAGAAGCATTTTCTAAACTAGAACTTTGAGCAGGAGAAATTTCACATTTTTCCTTCCACAAAAAATGCTGTAAAAGGCCCTAGAGCCTCTCAGAATCTGCTGTTAGCAGTATTAATTTGTTATTAAATGCATTTTTTTTTAAATGAACTAGAGTGTTGCCTTAAAATTCTTGGATTAGCTACTGGGCTTGGAGTCAGGAAGATCTGAGTTTAAATCCTGCCTCAGAGACTTACTAATTGTGTGACCCTGGACAAGTCACTTAACTACTGT